GGTTTTTGCAGCTCTGTTTTTCTCTTTATCATGTAATTGATTTCGTTACTGCAATCCAAAGTATAGCAGAAGTTTACTGGCGCAAGGTAAAAGATTAACTTTTATGCGTATAGAACTTTCAGTATTTAAAAGGTTTGGAAGTTCGGGTAACCTTTGATAATAATCGAGTATACATGATCTGTGAACGAAGTGAACATACCTGTGAAAATTAAAAGTATGGTTTACAAGAAGGATCATCAAATTATATACATCCTTCTTGCTGGTTTTTTGCAGTAATGTGTTTTTGCTATCTTGTTTCCTATTCAAAAGAACGTAATTTTTTTTTGTTGTTGTGAGTATAGTTTCACTATCTTGTTTCTAATACTTTCTTTTTTTAAATGTTGTCGGTCTAAACATACTATCACACATGAGAAATATAAGAAAAATAAAACACCTCAGGGCCGGTCTTGGATAAGCCAAATAAAACATATTAGATTATTAATATTAAAAATAAGTTTCCAAATTTTATTTTAGTTGTAATAAAGCGCTCCCAAAATTTTAAGAAATTAATATTTATAGTGATTTTGAAAAATATATCTAACAATTTTCAATTTTTTTTTTTTTTTGTTTGAGCCCCCAACGTCTTTGTTTTAAAGCCTGATACTAAAAAAACAAGTAAATGTATTATTCTTCCCTGCTTAGCCTGATTAAATATTCAATTCATAAAAAGTTTAATCTACCCATTAATAAAATCCTAATATTTCCAAAAATGCCTGCTTCTTTATCACCTCTTGGGAACTTTTCAGATATCCATAAAAAAACAGCTAAAACCTGCTAATGAGGAACGAAAATTTTGTGTGGTAATTGGATGGGATTTTGAGAATCAAGGCTTTCGAGGAACATATCATGATGCTCGGTGTATTTGTGATAGAATAACAAAAGGATTAAGAACCAAGGGTTACATCGTAAGTTTGACTACATTCTAATACTTGTTGTTGAGAAATACTCGTTGAGCGGTTTGTGTGGCAAAATTGAAAGAACGCAAGTTTCTTGATATCTAATTTATCATGAACAATTTTTAGGCAGTTACTTAATAGTCTTTCATTTTTCAATTAAAAAACAAATAACAAAAGAATTGGTGTAACACTGTATTGAAAAGATTGTTTTTTTTAAGGTGATCTTGTTTTGGTTAACTTTTTTATTGAATTTTTGTCTTCAATGAAATTTATTAAACATTTCATCTACTAAAAACTGTTATAGTTCTTTAATTAAAACTACAAGGTTGAAAATCTAGAACATTATAAACAAAACTAGATTTTTTTCGCAAACAAAACTAGATAAATAAATCCACAAATATCGTATAAATAAAATATTTCATAGTCTTATTATATAAAGTTTGATGCGTCAAAGTTAGTAATTCACAAGATCGTGACACATGACAAGTTAATTGATTAGATTTTGACATGTGTCACTATAAAACTAAGAATAAATATAAATTTAAGAAATATCACTTCTTATTATATAAAGTTGGATGTGTCAAAGTTAGTAATCCACAAGATTACGACACATGGCAAGTTAATCAATTAGATTTCTACATGTATCATTATAAAATTAAATTTTTTTTAAGAAATATCACTATTGCTATAAGAAAAAAGCATAACCACTAATATGTAAAAAAAAAAATATTTCAATTAAGAAAAGGAAATTTTTTTTTAAAAAAAAAGTAAAAACTAATCCTAAAAGAAAATGAAAAATATGGCAAGTTAATTATTAGATTTCGACATATGTCACGATAAAATTAAAAATAAATATAAATTAAGAAAATATCACTATTGTTAAAAAAAAAAAGAATGTATAACCACTAATATCTAAAAAAATATATATTCCAATTAAGAATAGGAAACTTTTTTTCAAAAAATTAAAAACTAATCCTAAAATAAAAAGGAAAATATGACAAGTTAATCGATTAGATTTCGACATGTGTCACGATAAAATTAAAAATAAATATAAATTTAGGAAATATCAATATTGTTAAAAATAAATAAGAAAATATAACCACTAATATCTAAAAAATATATATTCCAATTAAGGAAATGAAACTTCAAAAAAAAACTAATCCTAAAAGAAAAAAAATATTACTCACATCTTTATAAACATATAAAATTTCTTATAATTTTACTAGGCTGAATTTTTTCTTAGACTCGAATCAAATGAATAAGATAAAAACTGATGAATCAATAAAAAATATAACTTATTATATAAAGTTGGATGCGTCAAAGTTAGTAATTAACATGACCGTGACAAGTGGCAAGTCAACTGATCAGGTTTTGACATGTGTTGTAATTAAAGTGAAACAATAAAATAAAAGGATATATTTCAATTTAGAAAAGAAAAAATAATTTAAAACACTAATCCTAAATAAAAAAAGGAAAATACTATTTTTAAAAAAGTTGATAAAAAAAATATTTCAATTTGGAAAAAGAAAATAAGCTCTTTAAGATAATGATTCATTCAGTATTCCAAATTTTTATCCTTTAAATTTTGTTTGTTGAATATTGTATATATCTAAAGTGTTTCCGGTATTCAATAATTAGACAATTCTAAAATAATCACATGCAAAATTTGCAACATAGAAGTACATGAAAATGAAATCTTAGTTGCTAATGATAAATTTAATGAGGAGGAAGATCAACAAAAATCATGTTCAGAAGCTTTTAACACGAGTTTTGAGAAGTATAACTTCTCTAAAAAGCAAAAAGGTCATTTACGAGAGATGAACGTGGAGAAAGAGAAAATCTTTGTTTGCTTGAAAAAAGTTAATAGGGAGAGAGTTAACATAATCTAATGACTCGAATTGCATATCCAAATTTTTAGCGCAGCAAAACAGAAAAAAAAATAGTTAGTAAAATGTTGAACTACAAGTGAAAGTATGGTTAATTTTGCTAAAGACCTGCAACAGACTCTATGTTTTGGATATTTTAATTGAAAACAAATAAGAATTAAAATAAACAACTTTTAGAATGAGAATTAAAATATATCTATGTATTAATCTGGCAACCAAAAATACTTTGGATTTCTTTTTAAGAATCTAAATAGTTAATGTATTTTTCTGACAAATGTAAATTACTTGAGGTCTTTTTAAGATTTTTTCCTATATTTTTTCATCAATGATCTGATTTTATTTTTTATTTTTTCTAAAATTATTTTAATAGATTTAAAATTTGCATATATGCGGGTCTTAATCTAGTACTATAGGAAATCAATATGCATACTGTAATAAAACTATTACGACTGTTTTTTATTTTATTTTATTTGAGACCTTCAATATTTCTCTTGAAATTAAAAAGTTAAGTAAATGAATATTTTAATCAAAAAGAGAACTAAAATTCAATCCTATAATACCATAATACACAATAATTTATATATATAAGAATTTGTGAGGTAAAAGAACAAACCATTAGAGTATCTCATTTTTATATAAAACTTACTTAAATGTATTAAACTAATGTCTTTTAGATTTTTGTAATCAACCTTTAACAAACATTCCACTTATCTTTCGTTATAATAAATCAGAGGCGTCAAAAAATGAAAGTTAATTAGCTTTATTTGAGTTTCGACCACAGAACAATTTAATTTTAATTGAGTTTTGATCATAATTTTTTTTAATTGAGTTTACATATATATATATTTTTTTTTCCTTTTCTAAAAATAAGAAATGAATGATCTTATGTGTTATGTAGAGTTGTGTTAATGGGTCATTCAATTGTGAGACACGCAGTCTTTAAATTAATCTTTTGTATAAGTAGAGACTAGACTTTTAAAAACTTTTCATACACGTTTGTAACCAATATGAATACAATAGTCAAAGGTCTTCGAGGAGTAAGTCCAAAAATGCATATACAAAGACTTGGAAATTTGAATATTTAAAGACCACTTTTGGCAAAGAAAGCAGAAGATTAATTACTAGACGATTAAAAAAAGAACGAAAGACTAAGTTGACGACCAAATAAAAAAAAAAGTAGAAGAGGACCCTATTTCCATCAAAATTCACAATTCTTGCTCCTAAAATCTTACATTTTGACAATTTTGGTTCTCTTCTCTCCATGAATCCTCTCAGATTTTATCTTCTTAAACCCCTAAAACCCAAACAAAGTCTCTGAAAAATTCTCACTCAAATCAATGGGTTGCTGCAGCAGTAAAACCCTACCTCACTCTGATGGAGATCAAGGTACCGTGTTTGGTAAGCCATTCGTTGACATCAACAAGCTTTATAGTTTGGGGAAAGAATTAGGTAAAGGTAACCTCGGGATAACTTACATGTGCCAAGAGATCTCCACAGGGAATACCTACGCCTGCAAATCCATATCCAAGAAGAAGCTAACAAGCAAAGACGTTAGAGAAGCTGTAAAGACAAAGATTCAGATCATGAATCACGTTTCATGGAATCCCAACATCGTACAGATCAAGAATGTGTGCGAGGATACAGAGTCTATACACATGGTGATGGAACTTTGTGCTGGTGGTGAGCTATCGAATAGGATCGAAGCCAATTGCTATTACTCTGAGAAAGATTCTGCTGGAATCCTTGGGTCGATTGTGAATGCTTTGGTGGGTTTTCACTCGATAGGTGTGATTCATCGCCATGTCAAGCCCGAGAACTTCCTCTTCACGAGTGATGATGATGATGTTCTGCTCAAAACTATCGGTTTCGAGTCTTCCGTTTACGTCAAACAAGGTGATTTTCTCGTTAAATTCAATCAGTGAACTTTAAATACAATTAAAACAGAGCAACAAGCTTCTAACGAACTCTCATCTGACTCTGTTTCTACTCTGTTACTAACTCTGTCTCTGATACAGTCTCTGTTTTGTCATTTTTGGCTTCAGAGTAACTCATATAGTGAAATATGCCATATTTAGATTGTTCATATTTGAAACAATTTCAGGCCAAAAACTGATATTCTCATTAACTTCAATCTATCAACTTTATATACAAAAATAAAACAGAGCAACAAGCTTCTAAAATGACTCTGTTTCGACTCTATTACTAACTCTGTTTCTGATACAGACTCCTTTTAGTCATTTTTAGCTCCAGAGTAACACATATTGTGAAGTATGCCATCTTTAGATTGTTCGTATTTGCAATAACTGATATTCTCATTAGCTTTCAATCAATGAACTTTATATAGAAATAAAACAGAGCAACAAGCTTCTAACGAACTCTCCAGTGACTCTGTTACGACTCTGTTTCTGATACAGACTCTGTTTAGTCAACTCTAGTAACTCACTTTTAGATTGTTCGTATTTCCAAAAAAGGTAAAGACGAGAGTAGATACTACGTTGCTCCTGAAGTATTACGAGGGGAAAGCTACGGGAAAGAAATCGATGTTTGGAGCGCAGGTGTTATATTATACCTCCTACTCTGTGGCAAACACCCATTTGAGACTGGTAAAAGCTTTAAGCTTTACTACATACAGTATGTTGATTTGTTATTCTTCTTTCGGGTGGTTTAATGTGTAATTGTATGTTTTCTGATGTTGTAGAAGATGAGATTAGGCAAGGAAAGTTGAGTTTGGAGAGTCAACCATGGCCTTGTATATCCTTGAGTGCCAAAGACCTTATCAAGAAGATGCTCACCAAAGATCCAAAGAAACGAATCTCTGCATCAGATGTTCTAGGTACGCACCTTTGTTTGCTTGTGTTACAAGAATCAAGAATCAGTTTAGGTCTTAGAGTGACACTATGTGAATCTTGAAAAACTTTTGTGTGAGTTTATGATTGTCTCTAACTAGCAAACCCTTTTGTGGGTTATATAGAACATCCTTGGATCAAATACGAAGCTCCAAATAAGCCTATTGACGATGCTCGCGTATTGCTTATGAAGCAATTCGGAGATATGAACAAGCTTAAGAAGCTAGCTTTCAAGGTAAAAGAAGTAGCTACACAAATTATGAAATTATCCTTCTTGATCACTAGTTTGTACATCTTGATGTGTTCTCTAATCCACTGAAAACATATCGTATCTGTGGTTTTGTGTTTCATTTGCAGGTTATCGCAGAGGGTCTTGCGGAAGAGGAAACCAAAGACCTCAAAACATGGTTTAAGGATATGGATACTGACCGAACCGGGTCAATTACTTACGGAGAACTCAGAACCGGGATGACTACACTCTCTATGAGTGAAGCTAAGCAACTCATGGAAGCCGTGAGTATCACGAACCGTTCTCTATAAAACTGCTTTTGTTGATCTCAAAAAAGAGAGAATCATAAACACATGACGATAAACTTTGTTCAGGCTGATCTTGATGGCAATGGAAGGTTGGACATAGACGAGTTTATCGCAGCGACGATGGAGAGACACATTTTGGTTAAAGATGAAAATTTGCACAAAGCATTCCAATACTTTGATAAAGACAATACCGGGTAAGTTTATACATCAAATCATTTCTTGCGTAGTGAGATAGAATGTTAAAAACATTAATGTGCATGGCTTTGTTTATATACAAAGGTACATATTGGAGAGGGCTGGGGCCATGAAGGAGTATGGTATGAGAGATGAAGCTAATGTCAAAGAAATTATATCAGATAATGTAAATCGCACTCTATAATTTCCCGGTCCCTTATTTTTCCCGGTTTAACATTTAACCGGTTCTGAGCAGGATGGAAGAATAGACTATGGGGGATTTTGTGCGATGATGAGAAAACACAAATTGCTGCCACAAGGGAAGCTTCTTGGAATCCATTAATGGTCATAAGCTCTTGTTATATTATGTCCTCTCTCAGACAGAAGTGAGACGAATAATGTAAGTAAAGTAAGTTTCGGTACACGATCCGACGTCTAAGATTAAACCGGTTTTGAAACTTTGTAATGATGAACTGTTTCACGATGATGCGAAGTGGCAGCACAGACCCACTTGTGTTCACCCAAACGGTTTAGAGAAGAAGAGCTAAACCGGAGTAAATCGATGTGAGAGTAGTTGATCTTGTAGTTCAAACTTTCTAGTTTCTTGTAAGTACTAATTTACCAAACCAACGATAAAAGATTCCTCCTATAGTACACATATTCATACAGACCCAAAAATGAAAATGCTCAAAAAACCTTTCCTGACATAAAGTTAATTATCTGATTCCGGTAGAGATAACTGGTTATGGTGAAATCGATGTCCCAAGAGTGAAATAACCCGGTTATCAAAATTGAAATGTTACAAGTTGCACAATACAATGGGAAGTCTCTGGCTGCATCATCACATTCATCTGCATCTCACATCGGCGACAAGATGGCGAATCCGAGGAGCGTACCATTTCACTTTCTCTATGTGTTCTACTGTAATTTCCCAGCTACGACCTGAACCATGAAAACCAGAAGATATAAGCTTCATAAACCAGTTTTTCTAGTATTACTATTCTCCCAAATCAAGAAATACAGTTCTTGTTCTTCTCGGTTAAGCTGGTTTATGAGTACCAAGCGGAACTTCTAAAAACCATTTCAACTTCTCTATATGTTCTATTGTAACTTCCAGTTATTCTCTGGAATTACCCAAATCAAGAAAAAAAACCCCAGTAAATCAAGGTCTTGATTCAAAAACCATGCCCCTTCCTTTCAGTTCAAAAAGCTTTTGACAACTTTTGTTCCAACAAGCAGACATATGCAAATAATCGTTTACCTTCGGCTCTGGCGATATCACTTAATGATTTGGAGACATGTTCGGTCCAACTGCTAACATCTGAGTCCTTGACGTTTCCATGAACATGGAGTATTCCTCCCTCGGGCCTGCAAGTTCCAATACCAAGAACAGAGACATCAGTGAAATGATATCGACAGTATATCTAGGGAATGATTCCGAGAAAGGCACAATAATGTAGTAGAAAGAATTTATGTAGCAGGTTCTTGTAAAATATGTTCAAGGAAAGTAAGACCAGTAAACCACCTTAATGCCTGAATTGCTGTGACCCAGCTTCCTTCGCTAGTCGGGATAAGACCAAGACAGACTCTGTCTGCTACTCCCTGAGAAACAAAGCCAGAATTCTATTACTCTAGCGAATTATTCATTCCAACACTTAGAACATAAACAATTTGCATAAGATTGAGTATGATGAACAGTTTTGAAATATCATCAACCGTACTTTGGGTGCATTGATTCGGTTATCCCCTTCAAAAATGATACAACGGTCAGAAACAGAATTTGCTTCGACGTTGTGTCGAAGTGCTTCAATAGCATGGGGATTCCATTCACAAGCATATACCAGCTTTGCCTTTGCCCTGCAAAAATATAATAAGAATGAACTGAAGCTGCAAAAGATCTAGAAGTTTTGTGGTTGCATAAACTCTCTTCTCTACTTCATTTGGTCAATGGCATACCTCACAAGGAACGGGAGGACAAAATATCCAATTCCTGCAAATAGGTCCACCACAACTTCATTTTCGCAGACCATGTTACCCATACGGAGCTTTTCTGAGAGATTGCCCCATGAGAACATGCATTTGGTAGCATTAAAAGAGTACAAGATCCCATTTTCACGATGTTCCACCCATCCATCGTCTCCCACAAGAATCTCCAATGTACTATCCCTTGTACCGTTGGATTCCACTCGTCCCTAGTAAGCAAATGTAATTGAGGTGAGACAAAGTCCTTACTACAATTGGGATGAGACAAAATGCTTACTACAACTATCAAAGATGAATAGATAAGAGCCCATGAAGTTGAAAAATAAAGGTTAATACTTAAACAAGTCAGTGTAGTGTTCTAAAAGTGACATACCTGGCGTGCAAGGCGGTTGGCACTAAGTGATATAGCAACAGCAGGCCAAACTTCATCACTTATAGAGTTCCAAGTTGGATCTTTAAAAGACGTTACAGGAAGAACAACAATATCCCCAAGCCGTTCCCATCTACCAATAGCGGAAACACACAAATTGTCAGATTCAGATGCAAGTGAAAAACAACTTTTTAGTCCCCGAACATTATAAAATCAGCATTCTGGAACACTAACCTCTGTGGAAGCTCATCCAAAAGCTCCTCCGGTAGACCTTTGTGTTTAAGTATAGACGTGATAGCTTCTCTCATTCTCTGTAACGGAGACTTTGCAACTTTTTTGGCTTCAACAGCTACATTAGTGAGTTTTCTAGCACCAATCTCCTTCAATAGATTCAAAGCCACTGAACTGGATATTTCCTTTAAAGATAGACCCTTTGTGAGCTGGCTTGTAAAGTGATCATTTTCTGACCCTTCTAAATCCTTGACCAAAAGCTGCTTTTCATGGAAAAGCTCAGAAAACTTCTCAGTCACGGGGAAGCAGATATAAAGACCTTTTTCGTTGGAATAAACCTTCCTCTCGAGGTCTAACCATCCAAAAATTTTAAGTATGTCCTTGCCAAGCTTAGCATACTTTCTTTCTAACTGTATCACCCAGGTTTGAGACACAGAAGTTTCATTCTTGAAATGTTCGTCGTTTTTCTTCACTTCTACAGAAGCATCTTCAGGTCCGGAGGGAACATGATTTTCAGTCATAGTCACTGATTGAAGCAAGTTAATTTTCACTGGTTCACTAAACTTAGTCCCAAAAGCGTAGCAAGCAGCCCCACCTCCAATTACGATAACATCATCGCCAAGAACAGTGGCCGAACTTCGGACCATTAATTCTTTGTTCATAAATTCCAATCTGACACTCCTCCACAATCGGTGCTTCAGATCTAGCAGAGTCAAATCTTGGCAATTTTGTGAAACAGGACAACCTCCAACTATACCAATGATATGCTTATACACAAACATCGAGTGTGAAAACCTGGCCTGAGGCCATTTCCCAGAAACCACTTCAAGTGTCCAAGAACAGCTTTGGACATCAAAGCTGTATAAATCATCGAGTACCTTTTCCCCATTGTACCCTCCAAACATGAATAATTGCGATCCATATGCAACCATATCATGAGAGTGGCGCGCACAGGGCCATTGACCTCGCTGTTCAATTTCTTTCCACTCAAGGTCCTTTGTATCCAAGACGTGCAACGAGGACAATATCTTATCACTGCTAAGCCCACCGAATATGTATACTTTAGAGCCAACACTGGCTGCTGCATGTCGATGCCTGCTCAATTCAAAGAATTTGCATTTAGAAGGAAAATTTGAGATAACAACTATCTAAAGAGATATCAATTCAATAAGCAACAAAGACATACAAAAAATCATAGAAATGAAGCAACATAGGCATAAAACCAAGTGCAAAATATACAGTTAACAAAAGCAGTCTTTAAAGACAGTAAAGTTCATCATTGGCGATAGGTCAAAGAAAGTAGAAATGGACAACATAAAACTACATCATACCTTGGAGGAAATTCACTTCCAATGCACCTCTGTGAGCTCCATTCATCCTTAGATATATCAAGCATCCACACATCATTCAGAATGTTCAAAGGATCAGCCCTTCCTCCAATAACAAACATGAGATCGCCAACCATTGAAGCTGTGTGGCCAAGTCGTGGTGATGGAGGTTCATTGACTGCGATCATCTTTAAGGTGCCACATGAAGGGTCAAGCAACATAGACTCGCTTCTTCGAGCATGTCTACCAAAACCGCCAAAGCCACCAAACACGATGACTTCTTTTCGGTCTGTTTTATCGATGGCACAAGCTGACAGTCCCCAAAGGTGGAGCTTTTCAACAGGTTCGCCGACAATGGATAACGTTGAGAGCGGCATAAGATCTTGCTGAGTCCCTGCCAATGATTTAGATACGGAAACTGGCTGTCACGTTTAAAAATTCGGAAATTCATCCTGCGCAAACCAAGTAGACATGACTCAAATTCTCGAACAAGGCGAGCTAAAGGCGACATTTTTACATTGTAACATGTTCAATTCTACGGCATTATTCAAGCTATCACTTAAGAGATACGCGCAAATCTATTATGCAAGATTAAACCATGGCTCGACGAATATATTACCAGGATGCAAGTCTCCGTTGTTGATACTTGAATCATGTGCTCCAGCTAGATTCTCGTAGTTATCATCTTCGTCCACGTCGTTTGCATCTGGATTCTTGAAACCGTTACTCGTCAGAGCTAGACTAAACCCATCGGTTCGCTTTCTATTAGCATCCATCTTCTCATTGGCAATGTCAACAAGGAACTTCACATACTCTGGTGAAACCATTAGCTTCTGTGTATCACCCAGAGGCACCTCCATTCGAATCGAGCACCGTATGGCTATAATTACCCTTTTGCCATCGCCGCAAGATGTGATTCCCGACTCTCTAAACCCGGCGGAGATAGCAGTCGCCACGAGAAACTGAGCTGAACCCAAATCCTTGCATTCCACTGCAATGATCAACGGCTCGAATCGGAAGACTAATTCGCTGGGTTGGTCAAGTGGGTCAATCTGAGTCGACTGTGAAGGGAAAAGGAGAGAAAGGACCAAATCCGGATCCGCCGGATCGTGCGTGATGTAGAGCCACGAGCCACCGCGAGCTTTCTTCTTCGTTGTAGAATTTAAATGAGGTTTGGGCTGGGAAAGGATAGAGATTCGACCTGAGCAGGAACTGGTGGTGAAGTATGATGGGTGATGATTGATGGTTTCGAGGAGAGGGACGATGGGCTCATCGAGATAGCCTTTCGGAGATTTGTCAGTCACCGATGAGCGAATCGACGCTAACGTCGCAGCTTTCCTCTTCTCGAATTCCATCTCTCTCTCTCTCTCTCTCTCTCTCTCTCTCTCTCTCTGTTCTGGTGGAAAAACCCTAAGCTAAGGTTTCATAAACCTCTTTTAGATCCCGGTGAGTCGGTGACGAAGGTGACTCGTACGAAACGGTCACAGCCGCTGCCGTTTTATATAGGTTGATACGACAGCGTTTTAGTGGTCAAAGTCTTAAGTGTGTCGAATCCGGTTCTGGGCTCAGACATTCCGGTTTGACACGGCTATGGTTTGGGTAAATCGAACCGAAAGACACTAATTTTTAATCACTTGTTATCAGATATTTCGTGAGACTCAAAACTCAAGCATTTGGTTGGCTGATAAACACAGAAGTGAGATATTACACCCAAAGAAAAAATTTGAAGATCTTAAATCATCCACTTATAAAACGCCACGTCAACAAAATGGGTCCTACAATGAGAACTTCAAAAACGCAAAGGGAATAAACCTTATCTTCAAACCTCATCCGTTACCATCTCTTCCCTCCACTCAATTTCTCTTCTTTCCTTTCTTCTTTCGACAATCAAAGGAACAGAGATAAGGTTAAAGCAAAAAACAAAAACTAAACAAGAAGAACAAACTTCTCTTGCTCCTCTCTCTGAACAAGATCAAGAACAAATGGCCTGCACTAATCTAACAACAATGTGGGTTTCATCAAAACCATCTCTTTCTGATTCATCGTCCTTGTCCTTCCGATCTGTTCTCAACCCACTCCCTCTCCCAAATCACAACTCCTCTCCTTCGAGATCTTCCTCCGTTTCTCCAATCCAATCGTCTCTTCGTGAGCTCAGAGACCGAATCGATTCAGTCAAAAACACTCAGAAGATCACCGAAGCCATGAAGCTCGTCGCTGCAGCGAAAGTCAGGAGAGCGCAAGAAGCTGTCGTCAATGGACGACCGTTCTCAGAAACCCTAGTGGAAGTTCTCTACAACATCAACGAACAGCTTCAAACCGATGATATCGATGTGCCCTTAACCAAAATCAGACCGGTTAAGAAAGTGGCACTCGTTGTCGTGACCGGAGATCGAGGATTGTGCGGTGGATTCAACAATTTCATCATCAAGAAAGCAGAGGCAAGGATCAAAGAGCTTAAAGGTCTTGGTCTTGATTACACAGTGATCAGCGTGGGGAAGAAGGGAAACTCGTATTTCCTCCGTCGTCCGTACATCCCCGTCGACAAATACCTCGAGGCCGGGACTTTACCGACGGCGAAAGAAGCTCAAGCTGTTGCCGATGATGTCTTCTCTCTGTTTATAAGCGAGGAAGTCGATAAAGTCGAGCTCTTGTACACAAAGTTTGTGTCTTTGGTCAAATCTGAACCCGTGATCCACACGCTACTGCCCCTTTCTCCTAAAGGTGAGATCTGTGACATTAATGGGAACTGTGTGGATGCTGCGGAAGACGAATTGTTCAGGTTAACGACGAAAGAAGGAAAATTGACGGTTGAAAGAGAGACTTTCCGGACACCAACCGCTGATTTCTCGCCGATCTTGCAATTCGAGCAAGATCCTGTTCAGATTCTTGATGCATTGTTGCCTCTGTATCTCAACAGTCAGATTCTTAGGGCTTTACAGGAGTCATTGGCGAGTGAGCTCGCAGCAAGAATGAGTGCGATGAGTAGTGCTTCTGATAATGCATCGGATCTCAAGAAATCGCTTTCGATGGTGTACAATAGAAAGCGTCAAGCTAAGATTACTGGTGAGATTCTTGAGATTGTTGCTGGAGCTAATGCACAGGCTTGATTTGTTTGGAACCTCTTTGATGAATCATTGATATATGAGCAGACTCTTTTCGTTTTTTTTTTTTTGGTTCTCGTTTGTATAATGTATAATTGTCTAGAACCGTTATGATCTTTTCATAATCATCATGCAATTACAAACATAATGTGGTTGTACTTATTTTGGCCTTTCATTGGATAAATGATAAAAATCTTCTTTGAGGATTTATGAATGAGGAGCTTTTGTAGGATCCTTTGAAGGAATAAGATTTTTTTTATAATCAATTAGTTTAGCTGAATAACCTTATTCGATTGTTGCTATGAAGGATCTTAGTTAAGGCATAAAAACAAAGAATGAATATATCATTAACATAAGTTTATGGGTGACAAAATATATTGTTGTTAAATGATGTCTGTTTTTTTTGAGGATCTACTGTCAAATGATTTTGATGTAGAGCTACATAAGCTTCATATGATAGACTCCACTAGATTCAAAGGAATATCAAATAAATAAATAAGAAATTCAATAAGAACATAGATGAATTCAACAAACAATCATGTTAATAGATGAACTAGAAATACTATATTATATATATAAAACGAAGAATATCTGAATATGTATGTATTATGTTTATGTAAATGGTTAGAGGTATTAAGCTAACTCCAACTGTAATTTTTTTTGTTGGCAAAGGTCAACTCCACCTATTACACAATTTGTTTAGCCTTTGCGATTGAATTAACTAGTATAATTCGCAGATGCATAATGCCACATGAAGTCATTTAATGTTTTGTAGGTCACCCTCAAAGTTCGTATGTGCACCAACACACCTTAATTGAAAACAATCCCTGAAGTTTATGAGTAAAAAAATTAACACAAGATTCTTCTATGGTTCTGTAAACACAAACAGCATGAGACACATAATTTGTTTTTTCCACTTTTTGGCAACGTGCCTATCTCATTAACCTAACCTTTATCGAAAACCTTTTCCCCTTGACCTTCGTTGATTTAAACACATGTGTTGAATTAGAATATCACCCTATAATAATAAGTAATATAAGATTGTGAATTTATGAGAATTAATCTCATTAAGATTCAAAAACTAAAGATTATAAGGATTGATTAACGTTTAAGTCTTGTCGAACTGAAAGTAATATAAACTAAAAAGCTTTAAAAGTTTTAAGTTTTGCTCTACTACTCTTTAGAAATTTTGGATTAGATTTTCAAACTGTTAAAATCCTTCTATTAATAAGGTTGGATCTTCAAACTGTTTAAGTCTTGCTCCGCTCAGTCATTTTGAACTTTTTTTCTTTTATTTTTTAAAAAATATTTCTCTTATTTTGATATAAAACTATTATTTTTATCTTTATTTTTTGTCGGTTTTGCTCTGCTGCTCTTTAGGAATTTTGGATTACATTTTCAAGCTACTGAAGTTTTTCTATTTATAAGATTAGAAAATCCGTCATTTTATACTTATTTTTCTTTATTCTTTAAAAATATTTCTTTTATTTTGATATAGAAATATTCTTTTTATTTTTATCTTTTAGAAGTTTTTTATTATTTTCGAGTATTTTTTATTTTTGAAGATTAATACAATTTAAATCGTGTTAATGAGCTTTATTTATATGAAAAAATCTTTATAAAATATGTTCATTTCCTCTATAATAACAAGTACTATCTATTAGTATCTAAAATCTAACAAAATTTAGTCTACAGTAAAAATTCTATAAATTAATAATATTAGAGTTTTAATATACAATATTTTTTTCCGTTGAAAAAACTCACAAATTTTTAGTCCTCAAGTGATAGTTTCTTTTTTCAATGTTTGGGAACATTTTGTACTGGTATAAAATTTTGAGGGTTGTGCTACAAATTAAATACCTAAAATTATGGGGGCAGGCGAAAATACCAGCCGTGCATTGAAAGAAAGAAAAGACACTTCGCGAAACACACGAAGCATTGAGACAGCTAACTAATCGATTGTCCAAATTAAAATTAGAATTACTCCACAAATCTTTTACAGCTAATATTTAGTTACATTACATCACAGCTCAAGAATTCGGTTCGTGGAGATAATTATACCAGTTACATATTGGTTTAAGAAAAACTCTTCGATCAACAAGTTTCAAATTTAAAATATTGTCGGACTAGACAAACGACTAGTCAATGGATTTTACTTTAATGTCTTGTTTGTGTAAACCGAGTTGGTATACTATACAACGAGTTTAAGCTAATGCAGCAACGACACTTGTCATCGCATTGCTGGTGAATAATGCGTAAAATAAAACCACACTTACAGGCGAAAAAAAAAAGAAAAATACGAGTTACTTTTATCATCAACATAATTTAATGCAGATTTTTTTAATGCTACAACAAATCAGTTGGGATTTTAATATTTTCACTTTTTAAATCATGGTTCGACCATTGTTTTATTGTATTGTACTTGATTATTTCGTTCAGTTTGCTTTTAATTAATCAGTTCTATATGTGTTATCCATTCTACAATGCTACTACACTTTCTTTTATTCAAACTTACCAATAAAAGGTGTTTATACCATCCTTCAATATTCAAAATAAAAAATTCAAACCAACTCAATTGAAACTATTTATTATAATTATTGGCCAATGTATCGTTTTTTTGTGTGTGTGTGGTGTGTTACACTCTTTCAATAGTTTTCACACAGCAAATAAAAAGAAGAATCATATATAGATAGTACGTAAAATTGAATGCAAGAAGTGATCTCTTTCTCACTCTTTTCTTTTGGATAAGATGGTAAGTAAAAAACTCTAATCAGGTAACATCATTAAAGGCGCTTTTGAGTTAAATTTAATTTCGTCCTCTTATATTTGGGATAACATTTATTTTTTTGTGATAATTCTTTTAAATTTACCGGAAACAGAAATATATAAAGTAAATAATTTGACATAAAAGCAAGTCTTTTCATATAGTACAATTTTTTGTCTTATTGTATGAATCAGACTCTGTCAATGATTTGGCAGGTCTCAGTAGAAAATAGTACCAAAGGCTACTACTTTTGTAAATTGTAATGCAAATTGTTGATTTATTTATTTTTTAAAGAAGTATTTAGAGATTATAGTACAAATTACTGAAGAAAATAAAAAGTGTATCAAATTATTACACTTTTGGAGTTTTCTAAAACCTCTGTTTGTCTGAGAGGTTCTTTTATAATCTTTGAACTTTTCTTACATATACATGACTTCTCTTTCTCTTTCATTTGCCCTTCTTTCACATTCTTACATATATTCTCACTGAACTCAAAACAACAACAACAAAAAAACACTTCTAAAAGCAAGAAAAGTTGCATTTGTAGCAGAAATTTTTATTTCTTAGCCATATATTATCAAGTGATTTGATCTCTCACTCTCTCCCCCACTCTCTATCTATGGATTCAGGAGGAAGAAGAAGCCAATCTAGCAGCAGAAGGGTTCCTTCAATGAGAACAGAAGGGGAAGAAGATTTTCAAGAAGAAGATGTGTGGTCAGTTTTGAGAGAAGGAGATTCTTCAGGTCCTGAAATGAAAATACCCAAAAATCATTTCTCTTCCTCTTCTTCTTCATCTTCACCATGGCACATTCATAGAAGCAAGGAGGTCTCAAGGGCAAAACAGTCATCTGCACCTATGAATGTCCCTGATTGGTCCAAGGTTTATGGTGACACACATATCAACCAAAGGAGTAGTCATTTACGGTCTCAAAATGATGATGAAGATGATGATGGTGGTTGCATGGTTCCACCACATGAATGGGTTGCAAGAAAGCTAGCAAGAACGCAGATCTCATCTTTCTCTATGTGTGAAGGAGTCGGGAGAACACTTAAAGGAAGAGATCTAAGCAAAATGAGAAATGCTGTTTTGACAAAAACTGGATTTTTGGAGTAAGTAGAATATAATATCTCACCAACATCATCATCATCATCATCCATGTGTATGGAGCATGAATCACATAACTCTTGTTAACATATCATCATGGAAAAACTCAACTTTATGGTATCCACATCATCATCATTATCAATGTCATTGTCGTCATCATCATGTGGGGATCACTATACCAAGAGTCTTTTGATAAGCTTTATTATTATTATTATTATTAATTGTTATTATTTTCGATGTGTTATTTAGGAGTCGATAAGTATTATAGTGATGATGATGACTTGTCAACCCCATGCATTGGGACCCAATTTATTTTCTTCTGTTGTTGTTTTTTGGTTTCCCTTTGAAGTTTTTATGATCTTAAACTAGAGCCTAGCTAGAGAAGGCATATCCTTTAGAACCTTTAATTGGAGCCTCTTTGAGTTCTTCACCATTTTTGGTGAAAGTTTTTGTCTTTTGCTATCAATGTCATGTATCAAAAATATATATATATATCTTTTTTAGTTAACATTAAGTTGTTTGAGGCATGTCGATCTTCTGATAATCTACTTTTGAATAAATAATTCATTTGGTTCAAACTAAACCGTTTAAATGGACAGTTGATTTCATGCAAAAATGTACTAAACTCTAACAAAATGCTGAATTTACCATTCTGGAGACGTTTTCAACCACAACAATCCATCTAAATTTAAATGGTTGTATACAAATAATCTGTCTTATTCCTTCATCAAAGGTATACTTTTAAGGATATTGAATACGTGACTTTCTTGCGTCGTCGTTGATGAATAGTTTGAAAACCTTTTTTTTACAATTTCGTTAATAATAACTATCAGAGTTTTCTTCGAATAAGATTTCTGCTGTGAGTTTATGGAGTTGTATGGTGGTCTATTGTTGTTATTTTTGGTTTGTCCCAAAGGTAATAATAATGTATGTGTCTGTTGTTTCTTGTTTATTAAAATATTAAGGATGCGTTTCCGTTGTGATTTTGTTTGTTTCCTTTGAGTGCTAAATAGATATATTTCAAGTAACTAGAGAAGTAATTGGAACAAACTTCCTTTATTAAAACTGGATCAAAGTTCAAAGACCACAAGAGAGACTTGAACCATTGAAGCATAAAACCAACAGAAACCTAAAAAGCTTATTCAAAGTTCAAAGACCACAAAGTGTGACAAGTTCAAAATCTATCATGATCGGTTGGTGATGGTATGGGAAGGACATGGACTCCAAACTTATGAAGCACATGGACTCCAAACTTATGAAGCTTCAAATCTGTCTTATTTGGAGTCAGTCAAAGATCGATGTTGATAGAATAATGTTCATTCCTTTGGAAATCCGTCAGAAATTAATTTCCGACAGATTTAGGATTTAGAGTTTAAAACCACAATTTTTTGTTTTTTTTTTTTATCGTTATATTATACATGACATAATGTTAAAGTATTTTCAAATACTAATCTTGTTTTAATGATTTTTAAAAAAACTAAACATTTGACATCTTAATAGTTTAAATTAGAGTATAAGTTATAGTATGTTAAGTGTAAATGTTAAGATTGAGAAAAAAATGAAAGATATTGATCCAAATTGTGATAACGTGAGAGATAATCATTGAATCATGTTTGTAATTATATAAGGTTAAGTTAAACATCAATTTAAATCGGTTTTTAAATCCTAAACTTTAAACTCGTCAGAAATTTCTACGAAAATATTTTAAAATATGTTTTGTATGAAAACTAAATCTGTATTTGTGTAATCCGTTGGAAGTTTATAACAGACTTTCGACAGATTATTTTTCTGATGGAATTCCGATAAAAATAAAAATTCGTTAGAAAATTTTCAACGGATTTTGACTCAAAACTTTCAGAATTCAGTATTTTTTTTTGTAGTGTACACTTATCTCAATTTTTGAGCAATGAAAATGAAAATGATAACGACAGTATCAAACTGTGACTTCAAACGCTATTTTTATTTTTAAATGAGTTGCAATTTTTAGCTATGTATTAGAATTATATTGTTTAAAATATTTTATTTCTAATATGATCTTTTTTATGTTTGGTATTATAATATATATACGGTTTTAATGTGTTATGTGTACCCACTTCCTCATTTGTTGGTAAAAAAAATAGTTTCTATGTTTCCGCTTACGCACACCAGCGTCTAATTCCATGCAGCTTAGTTTAGCACAATGATTACAAATTCAAATTGTGATTATATAGAGAGCTAGAAACCAGAAAGCCCAACAAATATCCAAACCCATATAAAGACCTAACAAAAGCCTACGAAACTCATTACCCTATTATCCGACGTCGTATGGTCTTGCTGACGTAAGATAAGCGTCGTAATTTCCATGTAAGTCAATTAATAATTTAAGTAAAATAAATACCAAAATCCAAGTAAACACCAATTGGCAAGTTTCGGTGCCGTGCAGGAAACAATCACTAAACCCTAAATCAATCGTCGATTCCTTTATATATTCCCTTCCTTCTTAAATATTTCTGATCCTCTTTTTCTTTTTCTCGATCAAATCCGATTTTTATTTTATTTTGTTTCTGATCACCAAACCCTAGTTTCCCACTGATCGTCAATTTCTTCTTCTTTGGGTATGTTTAATTTCGCCTTTTGTTTTCTCAATTCGAGTATCTGGGTTCTGGGTTTTTATCGGAACATCTAAAGTTTTCTATTTTTCTCTTATTTAATCGCAGATACCAGTCGAATCACCATGACGAAGAACTCCTTCAAGCTTTCTAATCCTCTCGGTCAGTTCATGGAATTTGTTTTTTGTTAATTTCTTTAGGTTTTGATTGATCGACGTCACTCGATAAGCGTGTAAAGAATCATCGATCGATTGTTGTTGCTTTAGATTGTGTTATGATTCTGATCTTTGTTAGTGGAACTCGATTTTGATTAGCGTGATTAAGAGTATGTTGTCTCTGATGAAATTGTTGCATATGATTCTGATTCGATATTTGATATTGGTTTCTCTGCTCGTTGTTGTTGCTTTAGATTGTGTTATGATTCTGATCTTTGTTAGTGGAACTCGATTTTGATTAGCGTGATTAAGAGTATGTTGTCTCTGATGAAATTGTTGCATATGATTCTGATTCGATATTTGATCTTGGTTTCTCTGCTCGTGTTTGATCTTTCCTCTGATGATTTCATCAAATCAATTAAGTTATTGACCTAATTAATTGTTGAATCTGTAACGATAGAGTACTTGTTCCTCCCAAATTTCGTTTGAAGTTAGTTGAATCTAGTGAACATCAAGGATGTTTATGTGCTTGCCTAATCTAAGAACTGTGATTGATTCTTTGTGGTTTTTGTGTTTTTTGTTTGTATCTCAGAGATGAGAATGGCTGAATCTTCTCGTATCAGAGAGAAATATCCAGACAGAGTTCCCGTATGTTTTCTCAACTTTCTCGTTACAGGACCAAATATGAAAGTTATGTATATAATATAGTTCTAATTAGAAAGTGAATACAGGTGATTGTGGAAAAAGCTGGACAGAGTGATGTTCCTGACATTGACAAGAAGAAGTAAGTAAATGATACACATCTCTCTTGTTCCGATCCCAAATTAGCTTCCTTAATCTATGTCTAATGGAATTGTTGTTGTTGTTGTTTCAATCGATGTCTTCGTTGATGATCACATTAGCATTCTATTTTTGGTTGGTTTTTATGTTAAAAGTTTTATCTAAGTCCATTCATGTTTCTTGTTTTAGGTATCTTGTACCAGCTGATCTAACCATTGGACAATTTGTATACGTTGTGCGGAAAAGAATCAAGCTTGGAGCCGAAAAAGCCATCTTTGTCTTTGTCAAGAATACATTGCCCCCAACCGGTAAAGGATCAACAAAAGTTTAGATTTTCTGAATATTTCATCTCCTATGATTACCTGTCTTGATTTTGGTTTCTCTGTTTTCTTGTTCTTACAAAAACAGCTGCATTGATGTCTGCAATCTATGAAGAACACAAAGACGAAGATGGGTTTCTCTACATGACATACAGTGGAGAGAACACATTTGGATCTTCCTGTTGAGTAGCTCTGCTTCGACAGTTTGATCTTCTTGATGATGATTGTACATTCGTTTTTTTTTCTCTTTAGCTTTTGCTCTTATCTATCTTAATAATTTTATCTTATGAGCTCTTTTAAAAAAAAAAAAAAAACTGATTTTGAATAAAGATTCTATCTTCAGTTTGATTTAATTTGAAGCTCTGTTTACATTGTTTTGCTTCCTCTGCTTGCTTCATCTATTGTCATGAACAAACCTTTATCATAGTTTTTAAAAAAAATTGTAATTGAAGAATTACTAAAATTATCTTTCAACAGCTTTTATTTGTAACACCTTTGTAAACGATAAGATCGCATTGGACCTTACTTAGTAATGCTATTTTGAACCCAAAAGAAAGTCTTAACCAAAAGTTGATGCATGAAAAACTAGCATACTACATACAGTACCCTAATGAGGGAAAAATGGGCCCATTTTTATTGACACATTGTTGTGGATGATAATCGGCTGATGGGCCCATTTAAAATTAAACTGATAAAGGCTCAGTTTGTAAAGATAGAATTTTTGATGTCAATTAAGACCAATAGTACACTGAGAAGTCTGAAGATTTGACTAAGTAGGGGTTATTGGTTCTTGTATTTTGGTGGATTTATAAATCTTTTTTGGATTTGATAAATTTATTGATTTCAAAATCAGTAAAATAGAAAAAAATCAAATCCACTCAAATACCAAGGTTAGACTTTGTATTTGGGTCTTTGTATTTTAGTCATGAAAATCCTTCCAAATCTATTCAAATTCAATTAAAACTCAAATCCTTATAATATTTAGATTCTAAAATGATAGAACCAATAACACTGTATTTCATTATGGATTTTAAAATCATAGAACCAATAACACTGTATTTCAATATAAATTTTAAAATACAAGAACCAATAACACTGAATTTGGTTTGGATTCTCAAATCCATTAAAATACAAGAACCAATAACATCTTCTAAAACTCTTGATGTCAATAAAGACTAAGAGTATACTGATAAGTCTGAAGATCAACAACATATTGAAGAGTCTGAAGACCAAAAGCTTGAAAATCTATCTAGAATTTTTAATGTCAGTGAAGATAAAAAGCACACTGAGAAATATGAAGATCTGTCAATGTCACTAAAGATAAAGAGTACACTGAGAAGTCTGGAGACCTAGTGGATATTAAAGAGTCTGAAGACCAAGAGCTTAAAGATATGTATAAAACTCTTGATGTTACTAAACAAAGAATGCACTGGCAACAAGTCCCAAAGAGGAGCAGATCTGTCTAAAATTCATGATGTCACTAAAGACCAAGAGCACACTAACAACAAGTCCATAGACCAAGAGCACACTGAAGAGTCTAAAGACCAAAAGTTTGAAGATCTGTCTAAAATTTTTGATGTCACTGAAGACAAAGAGCATGCTGACATGTCTGAAAACCACGAGCATACTGAAGAGCCTGAATATTTTAAGAATATGCCTCTGGACATGAAGTATATTAGAGGCAATCCTTGGGGGCATTTGACACCACCGAGAAATGTGAGTAAAAGGAGCCAAAATGAGAAGGAGCAGCTTGGTTGATCAAAGAAAATTCAAACTCCTAGTAAAAGGGTAAGTACAGTAGTAATAAGTGTATAAGAAATTTATTTTATCGTCCATGTCTAATCATAACTTTATTTTTTGTTTTATTTGGAAGCTCTGCAAGATTCTGAAGAAGAAAAGAAAGAAAAGTGAATGATCTTTCGGTTTGAGTGGTGGACATAATGAGTAACAGAAAACATGTTTTGTAGATAAAGAAAAGACTTATGAGCATTTCGGTTTGATATGAGGAATCATTTTGTAAGTAAGGAAAGACTAATGGCCATTCTGGAACAGCATTTTGTTGTCGTAGTGGTACATTCACTTGTAAGTAACATGGATTTTACTAAATCCTTAACTTGTCGTGTTTAGTTCTTGCATGTCTCCTAAAGCTAATCTCAGTGCTTTAAGGCATTTACTTTCCTTGTCATTGCAATGTAAAGGGGTTTGTGGAATCTGCAGTGCTGATGGTTCAGATTGGTTATGTCCTCGTTGTGTTGAGTAGTAACAAATCCTACTCTCATGGAAGACAGAGAAAAGCCCTTTTGATGATAGATGATACATCAGTTCTGGGATCTTCTGTTATTAGTTTGAAGACAAGATACATTAGATGAAAACTACTGTTTGGTTTCTCTCTCCAAGGTTAGAAACTTGAGAGGCAAACAAAACTCATTAGTTTTGCAGAAATTAACAAAGCAAAAGTGTTCTGACACAGTGAAGTAATGGTCTCTCTGGTTTTAGCTATAAAAGCCTTTCAAATTATATGATCACTGATTTTTAATCATCGCTGCAAAACTATATGATATAGAAATTAGTAAAGCTAATTAATGTGGTGGTGATTCTCTGCATACAGAGGGAAAACACTGATTTTTAATCATCGCTGCAAAACTATATGATATAGAAATTAGTAAAGCTAATTAATGTGGTGGTGATTTTCTGCATACAGAGGGAAACAAGTCACCAAACATATCATTCTTAACCACTTTATTAGCATCTTTGTCAAAGACAGACTTTCACAAGTCCAAAATGCTAGACTCCATTGCTTCCCTCACAAACGTCTGCGAAGCATCTCTCCCTGGCTTCAACTACTCATCTACATTCTTCAACGCTGCTTCGATTCTAGACGTGAACTCTCAGCCAGTTAAACTGTATCCTCTTCCTCTGAGATTCAAAACAAGGCGATCAAGATCTCTTATTCCAGCATCAAGATCCTTCCAAGCCGCCATGATTAGTCTCCATTGCACCCATTCGCCATCTTTCCGATATACTCCCTTCTTGAGTATGATGTAATCTGAGTAGACATAGTGAATAACACAAAGCAGCCTCTCCACCACGAACTATCAGGACTCCGGTCCTTTCTTGCATCTCCTCATAACTTATAGCAAAACCATAACATACTATTGATATCATCACACAACAAGAACATCGATTCAGCCATAGAGAGCGAGAGCTCAACTCCTAGCTGCACAACCTCATCTTTCAACTCCTCCTTTGCAAAATCCCCACTGCCAAAAAAACAACAACAATTAGCGATGAACTATACTGAGGAAACAATACATCCATATATTAATTCCCTGAACTAAGATATTGTTAATTTTCTTTCTTAATTTTCTCTAATCTCAATATGGTCTAAATGATACTATTACTGAGTAGTGATCCAAGAATGTAAGGAAGAGATGGTGGGGGCAGTGCCAGCATCTCACTATGTACGTCGTCCAAAAGTGGCATACACAGGTCCTTAAGAATCCTTATCCTCTTCACTTTGGGTGCTGCTTCACCAGCTTCTTCATAAAAAAGAGACTTCCACAAGTCAGTAACGTTAGACTCTATCGTCTCTCTCGCAAACCCATCCATCATCACCTCCTTCGTGGATCTCAGTTTATCCTCTACCTTCTTCATCGCATGCTTCTGTCTTGCAATGGCCGACGACAAAACTTGATCGTCGTAAGAGTAATCTTCTCTTCGAGAACCATAACAAGGCGGTGCACGACTATGATCCCCTCGGTGAAATCCTCCCAAGTGTCGCCGATCAGTCTCCACCGGACCGAGTTGTCATCGTTGTGAAACACACCGCTCTTGGGTTTGATGTAGTCTGAGTAGACATGATGAAAAACAAGGAGCAGCCTCTGTAACGTGGCGCAGAACCATAACATAGTACGGATGTCATCACACAGCAAGAACATCGTTTCAGAAACAAGTAGCGAGATATCAACTCCTAGTCGTACAACTTCTTCTTTCATCTCCTCCTTCCCAAAGCGGCTTCTACAAAACCACGCACACACAAAAAGTCAATGTTTCTTCTGAGAGTAAAAACTCTCTCAAAGAAACAAGGGACAAAATAACAGCACTGACCCTGTATCGAATGGATAGCGTCTGTACGACAACGGTGGCAGTTTACCATTACGACGGAGAATACAAGAAAGTGGTTTTGGTTCCATGTCTTTCCTATAATCCCAAAAACATCAAATTCAGAATCATAATCGAATGCAAATTACTCAAAGAAACCCTAGAACTCTACATATCCTATCTTTTTTTTTTTTTTTTTTTGATAACTCAGGATATATCCCAGACCTATGGAAAAGTCCAGACTAATCCTCTGGGGGAGGTACAGTCCATAGGTAGATCCTCTCTCCGGATATTCAAATGGGCCGACAGCATAGGCCCATATCTATATAGCCAAATGGGATTAATCTAGCAATTTCGTACATATCCTATCTTTTATCATCTTATTTGAAATCGAATTCATATATCACATCAAAAGTTCATAGAGAAACAAACTCACTCTTCGTTGATGAAGACAGAAATTTTACCAAAAAGCCTTCCTGATATAAGATCAATGGGATGATCTTATAAATGGTTGGGTGAATGGGTGGAAGCAAGTAGCTGGACTGAAGTCTTTTTCTACTTGCTCAAGAGATGATCGAAGTGGATGGTGATGGGATCAATCTGCTGGACTGAAGTCTCTTTCAGGCTTGATCGGTGGATGAAATGGAATAGAAGGGTGGATCGAAGAACGCCACTCAAGGGTGTGGAAACCCCTGTGATGAGTTCACAAACCTAGTCTCAAGGCATCACACACAAAAGACATAGATTCAAATGTTTACTAAGTGAAAAATTTCATTTTGCTTAGATAAACAAAAACAAAGCCAAAGCTTTAGAGAAAAATCTCTTTTAATTTCCAAAAATTTCTATATTTTTTTACAACAGAACAATGAGCTTTTATAGCTCTTACAAATGATCTTTACAAATAAATACACTTAAATGAAATTATTTACATTTAAACAAAAGGAAAAAAATAAGCTAAATCAAATAAAAGTCTTCTTGGCACCAATTTCTCTTTAAACTTAAATGAGAATCCTATGATTTTGTGAAATGATGAAGGCCAGATTCTTATAATAAATCTACATAATGAAGATAATTGATTTAATATTTTTTCATATTGTATCATTCTCTCCCTCTTCAAATGGTTTTGTCCTCAAAACTTATTTTTTTTAAAAAAAAAAACTTTTTAGCAAATATTACTTATAACATAAATAAAACTTTTTTTTTCATTTTATAATTTTTTTTAAACAAAAAAATCGGAATAAACAAAAACATAAATAGAAAAAGAGTTTTTTTGTTTTTTTAATGAAAGAAATAAAATTTAATTTTAAGGGAAAAACACTGATTTTTTTTGGGTTTTTTTTTAAATAAAAAAATCACGAATCAAAGAACAAAAACATAAAATCATTTTTTGAGTTTTTTTTTAAGTTTATAAAAATTAAACAATAAAAACAACTAAAACTTTCTTTTTATTTCTTTAATGGGAATCTTGATAAAACATGAAACAAAAAAAAAAAAAAAAAAATAGAGGATAAGAGCTTTTAGCTCTGATACCAAATGATATAAGATCAATGGGATGATCTTATAAATGGTTGGGTGAATGGGTGGAAGCAAACAGCTGGACTGAAGTCTCTTTCTACTTGCTCAAGAGATGATCGAAGTGGATGGTGATGGGATCAATCTGCTGGACTGAAGTCTCTTTCAGGCTTGATCGATGGATGAAATGGAATAGAATGGTGGATCGAAGAACGCCACTCAAAGGTGTAGAAGCCCCTGTGATGAGTTCACAAACCTAGTCTCAAGGCATCGCACACAAGAGACATAGATTCAAATGTTTACTAAGTGAATAATTCCATCTTGCTTAGATAAACAAAAACAAAGCCAAAGCTTTAAAGAAAAATCTTTTTTAATTTTCAAAAATTTCTATATTTTTTTACAACAGAACAATGAGCTTTTATAGCTTTTACAAAAAATTTTTACAAATAAATACACTTAAATAAAATTATTTAGTATTTTTCCATATTGTATCACTTCCGAATATTAATGCTTCTTTTTCGCCGGGACGAAAAATAAATAAGTAGGACATACTAGTAATGAGGGCATTTCTAGTCGTCAAAATTTGTTTGGGCTCTCTGTCAAGGCCTGAAGAAGTTTTTGGCCTATTATTCTCTTCGTTTACGGAGTTGGACCCTGTATCGCGTTTGATCTTGCTCTTGCTCTTGCCGTCGCCGTCGCCGTCGCCGTCTCTGCCGCGAATCGGCCACCTGTCATCGTTGCTTACACAGGCAAGCTATCTACTAGATTACAATATTTTTAGGAAGTCACTGTTAAGACCTGATTAGATTTTCCATCGTTGATGGACCTCCGAGTCAGTTTAGGGTGTAAAGCTCTTTCTTTTTACTGGGTTTCTCAATTAGATTACAAAAGTTTCGATGCTTGATTTGAATTTAAACACTGTGACCAAATATCCTCATTTCGGATCCATTGTTTTCGATTTGCTGGACAAATATGAACGAAGAAGAAAACTCAAAACCCAGAGGATCTTATCTGCATATAGACAAAATCTAAATTCGAAGTCTTTTTGTCTATTTGTGAATCCTCTTGTAATAGATTCAAGAAAGTTCATTACTTTCTCTTCAACATTTTGGAGGTTTTTCTTTTGGTTGGCTAGTTTGATTGAATTGGACTAATGGAGTTTCGATTCTTTGTCAGATTTATAACATTTTCTTACCATGAAGAAAGGTATGATGCGATGGGGTGATGATGATGATGATGCCTCATCTGAGGAACCATCATCGTCCTCTGCTTCTGACTCAAACGCAGATAATACAGAGATTGGGAAGAAGAAGAGAAAGAGCAAGAAGCCAATAGGTAGATCTCTCATCGTCCTCTGCTTCATTGTTCTTTAAAGTTTCAACATTGTGATGATCTCTCATGTAACTTTGTCTTGTCTGCAGCGAGGTTTGCGAAGAAAGATAAGAAAGCTTTCGACTACGAATCTCTGCAGCAGCACGGTTACAAAGCTGTTGGTCTTTCAGATATTGCTCCTCCTGAGGAGAAAGCAGACTGGTCATGGGCTACGGGAAAGGATAAACAGAGAGCAGAGGAAGTGAAAGAGAGCTATGGAGATCGAGAAGCTACAAGAGCTGCGGTTGCAGGTGGAGAGACGATTGCGAATGCGCAGCTGCGGAGTGATAGGAAGAATCTTTCTTTTTCGCAGAAGGAGAAGAAGAAGAGAGATTTGGGCCAAGCTAGTAGAGGGAAGAACTACGTTGAAGAAGAGAAGAGGCAGTTGAGAGAGAGTGGTGTTTACTCTGGTTTTGATTCTTGAAAATCTCGACTTTGAGGTAACATCTTTGTATCTTTTTGTGATGATTATGTAATATAGATTCCGAGAAACAAGAGTTTGCCTTCACGAATAGTATATGGAGAGTCATCACTTTGCTTTGTTTACTCTGGTTTTTGACTCTTAAAAATCTCGACTTTGAGGTAACATGTTTTGTATTTTGGTGATTATGTAATATGTATTCCGAGAAACAAGAGCTTGCCTTCACGAATAGTATATGGAGAATCATCACTTAGCTTTGTTTACTCTGGTTTTGATTCTGAAAAATCTCAGCTTTGAGGTAATATCTTTGTATCTTTTTGTGATGATTATGTAATATGGATTCCGAGAAACAAGAGCTTGCCTTCACGAATAGTATATGGAGAGTCATCACTTGGCTTTGTTTACTCTGGTTTTTGACTCTTAAAAATCTCGACTTTGAGGTAACATCTTTTGTATTTGATGATTATGTAATATGAACGCAAAGAAACAAGAGCTTGCCTTCACTAATAGTATATGGAGAATCATCACTTAGCTTTTGTTACTTATGTTTTGATTCTTAAAAATCTCAACTTTGAGGAAACATCTTTGTATAGTATATGGAGAATCATCAATTACTTAGCTTTGGTTATTCCTGAAAATCTCAGCTTTGAGGTAAATCTTAGTGCATCTGATGATACTTTGATATGAATGCTAAGACAATCTTGATTGGATTATTAACCTAATATCTTAATTTCGAAATATGTTTGATATGATTGGCAAGAAGAAACAGGAGCTTTAATTTCACTAATAACCATAAATTTACACTTTTGCAACTATAAGAATCTTACAGTACTGCAAAAAACCCAAGCGTTGTAGCAGAGAAAGAACTCTATCTCTGTGACCTAATGCTGTAAATTGATTCTCCAAAACACCAACCTTCATCTGTTCTAGCAATCTGGAACGAGATAGAATGAATTGGCTCTTATTTGATCTCTCTCTCTCTCTTTCTCATGGAAATGTCGACTGGTTTTGGCGGTATAATTTTACCGGACAAGATTCAAGAACGAAGTCAAAGAATCAACGTCTCTCTTCTCAGAAGGATACTTGATCGGTCTTGAAGAGTTCTTGGGGAAGACGAGTATGGTAGGGAAGCTCCCAAGCTGCAACTCCTGCTTAGCAAACTCCTTCTGTTCACCATCCGCTCTAAACTTCGCAACCTTAATCCCACTTCCGGCCAATTTCTCCGCCAATTCATCGTACGAAGCTTCCATGGCTTGACAAAACGGACACCAAGGAGCATAAAGCACGACGATCCAAGGCTCTCTCCTGTTCTCCAACTTCATCAGATTCTCAATCCCTTGCCTGCTCAAAGCCACAAGAGACTCACTCTTGAAGATATCCTCAACAACAGGTTTCGACTTCCCGTTTACACCATCACCCTTGTTAGCATCATCCTTGATGTTCCCTTTGTGAAGCCCACACTCTTTAGCCTTCGCATCTTCCCACCACCATCTCCCTTCTCTCTCGTGCTGTCCCGGTAAAACCGCCCTCGTGCACGGCTCACAACCGATTGAAACATACCCTGCCGCGTGCAATGTGTTGACCGGAACATCCATCGTCCTCAAGAAGCTCCAAACATGGTCCCCTTCCACATTCGCAACAGGGTTCCACTTCACCAAACTACCTGCTCCACCATCTAAACCTTCGAAAACAGGATCCACCTGAACAATCGGAACCTCAGACCTCGTTCCAGGAGATTGATCTTTCCTCTGACCAGTGATCCAAGCTCTTAAACCCTTGAGTGCACGCCTCAAAGGTCTCACCTTTCTCACACGGCAACACTCTTGATGCCCATCTTCGTAGAATGAGAACAATCCTTTGCTCCTAACCAAACCTTGAACCTCAACAGAGTCAGGAAACATATACTCAATCCTAATCCCATAGTGTTTCTCCACAGCATCCAAGAACCGGTACGTCTCCGGGTTTAATCTCCCTGTATCCAAGCTAAATACTCTATATGGTCTCCCGGTTAAGTGAGCATACTCAATCAAAGCAACATCTTCTGCACCACTGCAAACACAAGAAACGAAAAAGAATCAGTCTTTGATCAAACTTATCATTATTTGATTTCATAATCTATGAATCAATCTCAATATGTAATACCTAAATGCGATGGCGATATCGTTCCCGAATTTCTCGAGGGCTTTATCCATGATCTCAAGAGGTGAAGCATTCTCTAGCTTCTTTGCAAGTTGTTCAAAATCCTCAATCTCTACTACTTCTTCTACTTCCTCTGCGATTTCTGCTACCATTGTTGCTGCGAGAGGAATCATAGAGTCTTTTGTCTTTGGCTCTGCGTTTAAGGGTTTAACAGATGATCGCTTCCCAGATAGATTCAGAGACATCGGAGTGACATGAACACGATCCAACAATCTCAACGAACCAATATGCGATACTGGTATAAGAAACAAAAAAGTGGAATCTTTTTTAGGAATCGATCGCCATATATAAAAACCCAATCACCAATTCAAACAAACGAAAAAAGTCGAATTTGATATACAATACTAAGAACACCACACTGACCCATCAAGCAATTTCTCAGATTTCGACTCGAAAAGTTTGAAAATCGATGGAGAAATTGAGACTTATTTTATTTTTACCTTTGGGATCTGAAGAAATTCCAGAACGAGAGAAACCAGAGCTTGTGATCCTAGAAGAAGAAACTGTTGCTGCCATTGACATCTTTTCACAGCAAGATTTTGAATTGAAGATAGATTTCGCTCTCTAAGATTTTGATTTGTTCTTTCGTACTTTTTTGTTTTCTTTTCCAGGTGCTCTGAGAAGAAGCGTGGCATTAAATAACAAAATCGAAGAACCAGGTGAATCCAGGTTCATTGAACCTGGACGCATTGTTTTGTTTTTGGCAGCGCGAAGATTCTGGTCAAAATGGATTACGTGGCAGTTTTTGAGTGGATGTCCTTAATTTTAATTACATAGCATTCACTTGGGCATGTGGGGCCCAGAGGAAACGAAGTCAAATTTGGCAAAACCAATCCAATACTTATTTTTAAAATTTTACATATATTACTATGGGTTTTATACGTTTTTTTCCACATGTTGAAATATAAAATACTATAGGCGAAACTATCACTAAATATCATATAAAACTAACGCAATGAGAGATTACATTACCTTTTTTTTTTGTTAAAGGATTTTTTTATGCCTAGGTGGGAGATTTGAGATTACATAACCAATACAATATACTCTTTTTTCTTTAGTTAAAGATTATATTCTTTTTTTTTCCTGGCACCAGGATATTTATATATTCTCTATGCAAGTCATTTTAAAAGTTAGAGAATCTTTATTACTTTTCTGGTCCCATTTCTTAATTTAAAGTATACTTATCAACAATAGTTAATTTTATTTGAATATTTAAACATAAGCACACCTTGTTATAAAATTAGGTGCTTCACCTACTTAAACGTTATAATGCATGTGATCAAATGAGACTAACACAAGTTGTTGATTTTCTGTTTGTAATAAAATAAGAAAATAGCTAATGCCCAAATGTATAGACTAATTTCTAGAAGCTTTAAGAGAGATTTATGGATTAGTTTAACGGTGATAGAATATATAGCTATGCTTAAATTAGTGGAGGATTAAACTTAAGCACTAGCCTAATAATTAAGGATCATAAACCCACCAGCTATCAATATCTTCTAACTCCTTTTTCAGGATCATCACGAATTTTCTATCGCTATCATCTCTTTTCTTCCGCTCGAACATTAGTGTGGACCCGGCATTAGTGTTATAATTGGGCTTTACATTGATCCAACTTTTAACTAATTTTGCTGGCTAATGGGCCGCAAGACTATTTAAGCATTAAGTTTTCAAAATATTTGTTGAACTCGATCAGTCTACATATGTAACACATTTAATATCCTTGAATATTTAAGCTACATGAAATTATGAATTCAAAATCCATAATCTTATTTAAAGGGTCCATCTTTTATTTCTAACCAAACCGTTTTAAAAAAAAATGTTTTCCTTTTTCTTTTGACATATTGCCATACTCCTTATATTTGAGAAACTATAAAGGAAAACTAAAACTAAAACCAATAAGTCGTGACACATTGTAGCATTTGTTCTAAAAAAATAAAAAATAATAATAACATCGGTACTGTCTGGGATGGAATTTCATGATCCTTTAGACAATCGAATTTTGTAAGAGGAGATTATAAAAAAACATCGCAAATGCCAGATTTTTTGGTGAGTATGTTCCGGTCAAAAGAATCTACTATATATTTCCAAATAGTGTATTAAAGTCATTCCATACTTTTCCGATGAACTGACAAGGAATACATGCGTTACGAATAATAAAAAATGCAACGTTGTTGGAAAATACGTTATGATGTAAGATGTGTTATTAATAAATTTATTCCAGCCAAGTGGCAAGGCGTCACTATAGAGTTCCAGATTCTTTTTTTGTACTGATCTCGTTTTATATATGAGACGCTAAATTCTTTTTGGTAAGTCAAATACTAAAATCTAATACTATGGTTTAGATGTATGTAAATGTGTTTTGTTTTTACTGATATATATATATATTTTGTATATCTTTGCATATATTTTCCTACAAATTTAAAAAAAATATTTTATATCATATTTTTTATGTTTGGATTTTAATTAAAGTCCAGTTCATTTTTAAAATATTTTAAATAAAATATTTGGATATCAGCTAGCATCCTGTATCCTCTTTATCATAAAAAAGCGCATCAAACTTTGCTTGCGAGATACTACCAAAACACCATAGCCAATTAGCACTAATTAAATTGCTCGGTAATTATAAAAAATCTTGATGACTACTAATTAACAAATTATTCATATAGTAGTAGAACACTAGAACTTGATTTTCACAACAAGATGAAAAACTCTCTCCTTAAAAGTGGGTTCTGAGACAGCAAGATTGAACCATGATTCAGTTTTGAGACACATAATGGGAAACTGGAAAATATGGGAGTGAAGCAAAAGGGACTAATCAATACGTATTCAAAGTTTTATGTGTCAAGAAAAAAAAAACGTGTTCAAAGTCGATATCTGAATTATGATTCAACCCCCCCCAAACAGATGTTTAAATTAGAACGAAAATATAGAATAACAGATATATGATGAAAAAGTCGATATTATTTATAGACATCATCAATATAAAGCGAACGATATTCATATTAATTGTTGTTTGTTTGCATATATTCTATTAATCCGAAACGGAGACTTTTTTGTTGTGAAGTGTTGCGTGTCATCGCATGAGGATTCACATACATGCAAATGCAATATGGTCGCACGTGGTTTTTTTACTTACTTTCCAGATAGTTTTTTTTTTTGTTTGAGAAACTGTTTCAATTTTTTTTTTTTTTTGGTATGAATGTCAAGAAAACTGTTTGGCAACTTTTCAGATAGTTGGCAATAATTTGGGTTAACTTTTACAATAAAAAAAAAACACATGAAGATTAAAGACAAAGGAATTCAATATTTTGATTTTTTTAAAGACTATCTTAATTATAATATGTAACTAAACAGAGAAAACAGTTGTTAATTGTTTATCTTTCAGTTACATGTTCTCTGTTTATTTTTAAATTTTATTAAACAACTATATTAAATTATACTCACATTAGTATTAATTAATAAATGTAAAATCATAAAAGTAAAGACCTAAAGTAAATCTAGCTAGATTTAAATTTGAAATAACTGTTTCTTTTTTTTGAATCTTGAAATAACCGTTTCTCAATTTATGGCATAAAGTTATAAACCATAGTTTTAAATAAAATAACCGTTTCAACAAAAATATATTTATATATTTGAATAAATCTTTTGATGTATGAAACAATACATCAGACACAGATTAAATTATATGTATCCTAGTTGATGGAAAAGGTAAAACAATAAACAATTATATATCTTTTCTTATTCAAATATTTATATGCTTTCAATTTTTATACAGTAACCCAAAATTATATATATCTTATCTATTATTTGAAACAAGCATATGTATTTATTTTTAAAATAAGCCAAATCTGAATCTGATGATATTTGTTTTTGAAAAAATTGAAAACAGACGCATACATATTTTAAATCTAAAACCTGATTATTATTTTGTATAGTCTAAAATATAAAAAATGTGAAGTGAGTATTTATAAACATATTCACTGATTTTCCTTCCACCAAACTATTCTATATTTTTTTGTTTTCTTTTGTTTTTTAAAAGGACATATGGTATGCACTGTTGTTACAGACTTACAGTAGAAACTATTATATACTAATGAATGGGTTAAATCCTCTAGAAATATATTAATAAATACTACTTTGATGGAAGGAACGTTTTATCGATGGGAAATTGGTTGATATAACCATATAAATATCTAAAATTTAGAAAATAATCATATCAAAGTAGGTGTTATTATATTCTTTATATATTCTACAATATATACCAAAAACTCCTTCGTTTAAATCAACAAATAGATTGCATTACTATACTATACTGAGTTGGTGTAGTATACTATTAATAGTTGTACAAATATATTATTTTATACCGTACTATACTATCATTATGAGAATTGACTTTATGTTGTATGAGTATTCACTAGCTTCTCATCCTTACCAATATTATCGTCTCCTGAATTCACTTTCATATAAGACATCTTCCAACGTAAATTCCATATCTATAGATACCCGAAAAATAAATTGGTCACAGTATTTCAAATAGAGTATACTACTATATTATACTCAGTTGGTGTAGTATACTATATTATACTCAGTTGGTGTAGTATGTTATTAAATAATATTTGTAGTACACTACTATACTATTTTTTTTTTAGCCTAATGATCGATCAATCAATACGTTTTTATTTAAAACAGAAGGATTTTTTAATCTTTTTCCTGTGGGCCATAGTTACTTTCTATATTTTTGAATATCATAGTTATATTTTTGAATTCTTTTACTAATATATTTATATTGCAAATTAACCCTTTATCGATTGAAGAAGGTAAGTGACAAACCCTGTAACAAAAAAAAAAAAAGGTAAGTGACAAAGGGGAATGGAGTAAGAATTTTTAGCTCCCTTTAGAGAAAAGTTGACTAAAATATATTATTGGCAATAATTTAAGTCTGTTCGCTAACAAACATGCAACGCTTCTCTCACAAGCGTAAGTTACGCTCGTGCATGGTGACAAAAAATAAATACGTTTTTATACTATTCTATTTGTTCAGCTTCTACAAACCATAAATCAACTTAATAAAACATGCAACAGAACAAAAAAAAACAAAACATGCATAAGAGTTAAGACTAATTTAATACAAATTATTTTGAACGCCTTCATTAATTACGATTATATATATATGTTCGTACATCTTAGAATTAATTAAACAAACAATAGTTACATTTATCCAAACTATCTAGTAATCAGACAATTCGGGGTGGGCATTCGGTTTACTTATGATTTTGGTTCAGATTTGGCTCGGTTCAATTAGTTTTGTTATACTAATGCAATTAAAAGTTAATTTAGGTTGGTTTTAGTTCCGTTAACAGATTGCAAAACAGAACCTAATGTAAACAACTAAACATAATGCAACGTCAACGTGAATGAAACCTAGCCGCTTAGGTATAGCATGAGCTTCAGATTTTTTTTTTTTTGAGTTTTGAGAATTTAAAATAATTAATATCATTAATCACTAATAATTTAATAATTAGATAAATATATTGAAACCGAACCAAACTGAATCAGTTCATTCGGGTTGACAAAAATCATAACCGAAATGTTGTAGTATAGACTTTGGTTTGGCTTGGCTTGGTTTGAATTCGGTTGGTTCAGTTCGATTAGGTTTTTTTACCCACCCCTCATAATTACATATCCAAACTAATTAGACTCTAATCCAAATTACCGATCTTGTTGTCGTCAAAGAAAAAAAAATTTACCGATCTTGTTTCGATGCCTCAGCTAAACCTAATTTTTTTTTGGGACTATAACATGCTTACCGAAGTAATTAAAGCATATTTATTGAGTAAATATATTCACGAGGTACAAATGATCTATATCATATGGCTCAAAGTGATTATATGTTAAATGAGGCTTAATATAATTAGTTTGACTTACCTTTTGGCTTATTTAATTATAAGCGAAATCTTCAGTGTATTAGTTTCTACTACAAGTATATTAAAAAGGAAACACTTGGTACGTAGTACTAATTGATAGTCTTATAAGTACTGTTTTAGAAGTTATCATACATATTATTTTCACAAAGAAACAAGGCTGGAGGTGTACTGTCGACTATATTTTTTTCTTTCAAATATACAAATGAACTCATAGAAAAGAAATAATTATCGCAAAAAAATATAAAGAACAGAAAAAGCAGCACAACATGACAAAGCATAATAACAACAGAAACTAATGGCATTTAATCTCCTTTCTTTAAGCTATCTATTTTTTTGTTCAACTAAGAAAAATGAAAAAGTAGAAAATAAGACAAAGGTTACGAGGACAATTAGTCCAAGAAAACTTGCCAATTCGAAAATAGAGAATTCTCTGTTAGTTGCCTTCACCTATTTGTTTAGGTGCAACCGTGCAAGCATTTTGAATCGACAGAAAAAAAAGTCGATAAAAGTTTCCAAAACATATATATAAAACCGTGAGATTTAGAAAAGAACCGATGAAAAACCCAATCGTTAGATCATATGTTAGGTCAAAAGTGCCGCGGCTTCGATGGAATTCTGATCTTCACAACTCTTTTGTTCAAGCCGTCGAACAACTCGGTGGCGAACATAGTAAGCACTTTCCTTTCTCTTGTAAAACTACAGTTATAATTTCTTTCAAAAATGAAGAAAATTCACAATTTCTGATATCAGAACAGCATTTTTTTTTATTAATTTACCAACCATGGAGATTCTGTTCTTTTGAAGTTAGCGATTATAACAATTCTTATAGTAAAGATTCTCTCTGGATTTGTTTCATTCGATTTCAAATAAATACATATATATATATATAACTTTCTTTAAAATTGCAGGAGCAACTCCTAAAATGGTTTTACAGTTAATGGATGTGAAAGGACTCACAATATCACATGTGAAAAGCCATCTCCAGGTCCTAACATTTAATACATCTAGCTTATACACAAAATATTTGTATGTATGAACAATATCACATTTTATAATTTTTGATTTGGATATTGAACCATATATGTCTTAATTACTTTCCAATAGATGTATAGGAGCATGAAGCTGGAAGAATCCATGCAAGGTAAACAAATATCATTTTAAATTTAAATTATATGATTATGTATGCATTGTATATATTTGCATATATATTGAAATTCAACATAGTGTTCATATATAAACACATGCAATCTATTTCAGACGAGATATTGGCAAAGAGAAGTGTTAGAGTGACAGGACAAGTTACTTGGTGGCAGTTTCAACAGTACCTTCATAACTATCAACGCCTTCGAGGCAATGTCAACTTTTTCCAAAATCAACAAAGGTTCGTCTAGTTTTTTTTTTGGGTCAATTAAAGGTTCGTCTAGTGATAACTTAATCCATAAACTTAATTTGCTTTTAATATATATGTTCGGGTTTAAATGAGCAACATAAGTATATATGTATACATTTTTCTGTATATTTCTTGTAGGCAAGAAGAGGAAATGTATGAAAAAATAATAACATTTGGAGAATCAAGTAATGGAACCAAGGAAGCACCGAGTGACTATTTTACTTGCAAGTCTCTCTATGAATCTTCAAGGGTAATTACTCTGTCCATTTATTTGACTATATCATGGATATATATATATATATATATATGTATATTGCCAAATTGTTCTTTCAATCATCAGGAGTAAAACTTCTCTTCCTATGCATTTCTTACACTATCATGATCAAGAGTAAATATATACTCTTGATATATGAACTTGAATAATATCTATATATGCAATATCGGCATGCTACATATGTACTCACGGCCATATATCATTTCCAAGCGTCTTATGTTTATGAAGGTTTATTGAGATTTGTCTATTCTGTTAATATACTTTTGTTAACTGTATTTATTGATGTAATATGTTTTGTTAACTATTTTGCGACATTTTGTTTTTGGTATAGAGAGAAATTAGCTTATGCAAGCTTCATCTTGTATCGACAAGTAATTAAAAGTCACGCATACATATGAAATTTAATTTCAGCAAATGACTAGAAAATAATATTCTTATAACAATAATGATCATAACATGAGAAGGATATTGATGTTATGTTATCACTTATAATGTATGTGTCCATCTCAGTTTACGAAAATAGACATGCAAGTTTAATTAGGAATTATCTTTACTTTCGTTTTACACAGGTCCGACTTAATAAAACCAGAGCTGATGATGACAATGGTGAAGTTTGTGGTGCTATGGATGATGATGATAATGTTGTTCATGATGATTGCAATGTTGTTACTTTGTCACTAAACTCGATAAAAGCTTCCAAAGGTGACGAAGAATTGTCCCTCGAGCTCACTCTTGGTCTCAACACCTGACAAGAAATTGAATTTTGTAGAAATCGTTGCAAAGTATGTAGATGCAATGTTAAAAAAAAAAGTATGTAGATGCATGTACTAAAAATTTGGTTCAATAACCAAAAAAAAACTATAATCTACAAACTAACCAATTTCTTTCTCTCTCTATCTCTCCCTATCTATCTCTAAGCATTTGGTTAGTTTCTAATTTTTTTTTATAATTATTCAACAAATTCACCCAAAATATTTACTTAAAAAAAAAACCATTCTTGTATATTACTGAACATCGTTGCAAGTTGGTGTGTTTTTATTGAGATTTTAAACCGACGACTAATGTTATTTTTTTATTTCGCTAGACCAATAAGATAAACAATAAAAGTTAATATATAAAAATTGAACAAATGGAAAGGTTTTAAAAGTTGGGATACGTTTCTCCAAATCTCTTAAATAAGAACGTTTCTCAGAACTCTCTCATGCTTTTCTTTTTGTATGAATATTTTAAAAATAAAATATAGGATGAGAGATGATAATGAAGGTGTTAGCATTGTAGAGACTACCATAGAAAGCTTTAATTTTTTTTTATTATTAAAAAAATTGATTTTTGTTCTAAAAAAAGAAAAATTTAATAAATTACATTTTGCCACGTTATATAAGAGATATTTCTTCCACCTCGCAGAGTGCCATTTCTATTTTTAGTCTCGCCACATTATTAATTTTTTTTTCCTTTTTATTTTTGCTTTAGAACCCTGTAAAAAATCACCCCGATGTTCTTAAGACTCGATTGTAAACGGAGCCATGCAACGAGGACAATACAAACTGTATTATTTTATTTTTGTAATAAAAGAATAATGAGTATTTTCTGTTCTTAAAACAATATATAAGTAGGAGTTTGGCTCGCACGCATGTGCTAGCATAAACAATTTTAAAAATTTAATTACATAAATATAATATCAAAATCGTTATAAATATATTTTTTGTAATATATAAAAAATTAGGTACATAAATTAAATTATAGGACATAATAGCAAAATATGGTATAATTTTAACTAACATTATAACAAAATATCCATTTAATTATGTTAAAGGCCCAAATGGGTCAGACCAGTGGATAACTGGTTAAACGGGTTACCTGCTGCAGATTTGCGGATCAGACGTATATACCTGTAAATTTCATCTTCTTCGTCTTTAATTAATCTTCCTCAATTTATCCAATTATCTAGCTTCTAAATTTTCGAAGACTTCTTTGTATAAAACAAATATTTGAACTAAAATAAATTAAACACAGAAAATTATTTGAACTTAAATATATTTCAACTTCTCTTTGTATATTTGTTTAGCTTCTGTTTCACATGGACAACAAAAATGGATTCTTTAGTTAAACATTGTTAGATAATGTTACTTTAGATAATATAATAAGTGCATGTGATGAAGACAATTCTCTAATTTTTATACAATTTGATAATACAATTAATGTTACTTTAGATTATATTGTAGAAAGACAATTTCAAGAAAATTGTTAAAAGTAGATACAATTTATGTTCTTAAAACAAATATATAATAGGAATTCTGGACTTCGAGTTCTATAATATACAATTTATTATCATTTGTACAGATTAATGAAGACAAATTTAAATGAGATTTTCAAAGTAGTGCATGTAAAACCATCGGTCGTAAATTCTCATAATTGGTAAAATTGTCCATTATACACTCGTCCATCTAACGATATAATTTATAATAAAAATAGTAAATTAATATTAAAAAATGGTATGCACAACCGTTTTCAAGTGGTTACAAAGGAATTTTTTTTTTTTTACTATCTGATTAATATTGAAAACAAAGGTGAAATATAAAACGAGATACAGTTTTAAAATACTAAAACGGGCGGATTAACAAGAACTCGCTGGAACAAAACCTAAATAAAGTAAAACACATAAAATTCGAAACTAACAAGAGGTATACCAGCAAAAATTAATTTGTATAGCGCTTTTCTTTTATCAGCTAAACTCATAATAGTACTGTTGTTTGCCCGAAATACCCGAGACCAAATTATTATGTTTTCCGCCTTTGTATGATCAAGCTTCTTTATTTTTCGTAGTGAAAAGTTAATCTAGTTTGACGATTGTCCCGTGAAGCAAAACCATCTTTTTGTTGCTAGAAATTCGGCACATACAATAGAGCTACGAGATAGTAAGAATATCTCTATGGGTATTTCTCAAAATAGTATCTAATGAATAAAGAATTGAAAAAGAGAAAAAGAAAAGAGAGAAAATAAATACGTCTAACATGTCCTTTTGTTGAGAGTTCTTAATTATATTTTAATATTAAGAGAGGAGAGAGAAATAATTTTCAAACAATAAAAAAAGTATAAGGTAAAGAAAGAAGACACCAGTTTAAAACTTCTATAGAATCCACTCTATAAACTTTCTTTAAAAAGACTATTCTAAAATATTAGTATTTTGTCCAAGCTACGCGTAGACTGTATAATTATATTGTAGTTTTAAGAAAGATTGTAAGTTAATTTTGTGTTTAATATTGTGATAAATTATAGAGTAGTATATTTTCATGTGATTCTTAGATATAGTCGAACGAAGTAAATATCAGAATGATGTATAAATATATGTGAAAACATGATCGATGTTTTTTGTATAATAATTTGAAAGTAGATTAATGTATATTTTGGTTTAGTTAAACTTTTTTAAGAGGTGATGCATGTTTTTGCAAATATGAAAGGTAAAATTTGACCTTTTTGTATTATAATTTGATGTGAAATTTTATTGTATTTTTTGTTTATGTAAACAGTATCCACATGAACTATATATTATATTAGAAATCTATTGTCTAAATATGGACATCTTATGTTATAATGCTATTTCTTTAGTGAACACCATGAGTATTTTTTATAATTTCAAAAACTTTTTGCATAAGCTCCCCTTTCGCTTGATGCTTTTAAAAAGAAAATCTCAATCCTTACTCCATTTTTGTTTCATATTGTATCTTAGTATTTTGTTTTTAATTTTAATATAGTATGCATTTCTCTACTTATCATTTTTTTAAGATTCAGTTTGTACATATATGTTTTATAATTAGTTCATATATTCAACGAAGAAAACAAATGACAATTAATAATCAAATTCTTTATTATATGAGTTCCTTATTAATTGATATAATATTTATTTGATAGTTTAGTTAGCTCAATCATTTGCCAATATTTGTGCAGAGTGTGGAATTTATCATTATATGTTATTTGAAAAAAAATCTTTTCAGTTTTATGTTTCATGAAATTTTGAAAATAAAAATTAAGAAAAAGTGAGTAACTGTTTTTAATCACCAGTTCCTTAGTTAGATTTTTACTTCAGTTTTTCACAATATCAGATTACAACGAACAATATGGAACTCTATATCAGCTTTAGTAACTTGAAATCTGTTATAAGTCAAAAAGTTACAATTGTATAAATTAATTTTCTCTAGAAGAAAGAAAACCGAGTCGCTCCTTAAGTTTTACTTTTGGCGAGAAAGACGTTCTCCAATTTCAACAATACTATGATTGAGACTCATTCTACTCGATTCACATTATAAATATAAATGCAAAACAGTTATGAGATTGTATTTTTATGTTGCATACAACAATCTCAAGCATGAGATACATTAGACTTCATTTTTGATAAAGTTGTGTATTATTTATACCATTTGTGGCTCATCGCTATGTCTTTTTTTTTACATCCTCATTGCTATGTCTTTTGGATTTCTAAATGTTTATGCTCCACTTATTTAAGTTTTATTGTTTATTACCAGTTTGGTTGTCATTAATTAAAAAATAAATTTTGTGTTTAGTGACGGCTGATTCTATTTCTAGTGAATCAGAGGCAAGATGATTGGAAACCGAGAAAACGATGACTCCATAAAATGAATTTTTGTTTAAAATTTATAATTGAGTTTTAGTGTAATTTGTTTTCATTTTTAGCTTTGTTTTTTATTTTATTTTATTGAAAATTTAAAAATTATAAAAGTTTTTTTGTAGGTAAAATTTGAGGAAATTTTGATTAATAAATTATTTAATGAAATAAATTTAAATTATTGGTTGAAGAAGATGACATAGCAGTTTTGGAATATATTATTGGTTAATTATTTTTGCTAATGTGGCAGTCTTTAAAAGCTTAGAAATATATCCCAGGAGATTTGTGTGCCACATCATTTTTTTTTCTTTGTTTTTTTTTTAACTTAATTTTTTTTAATAAATTCTGCATTAATGATATTCTTAGCATTAACTCATTCCTTAGATAAATAACTTTTATACTAATATTATAAAAGTGAAAGCTCTAACATACTAAAGTCCTTTAAGTACTTTCGAAAAATACAAAAATAATATAATTTTGGTTTTAACGTAGGGCCAATCAACCAAGTTCTACATCATATTTAAGAAATCTGAGCAACCGTTTTGAATTTGGCCAACAAGGTCTAGTTCTTCTCTTTTAGGCATGACGATTTCCATAAGAGACCTTCCAGCTCCGCGTGGAGGGCAGAGAGGCTTCAATTCCAAAGTTTATTTTTCCAATATCGTCCCATCAAAAACTTTTTCATTTCTTATTTTTGAATTTTTCTAAATGATTTACAGATAGTTATCCATTTAAAGTTCGAGAAGACGATCTCTTGTTCTCAAGAACAGAAATTTCATATTTTGGTATTAAGAAATATTTAAAAAGAAACTCGGAACGTACAAAAAGTCAAAAGAGAGGCCAAACTTGTAGGGGGGATTCAAAGAGTAGGTGATGGCAAGTCTTATCCATTCCCAAGTGTTGGTATGTGGCTACACACCCCGAGAGTACCATAATGCTTCCACACCTGACTTTAGAGGAAAATAATACTTGGCTTAAGCACCTCACAATTCATAAGAGTGAGATTTGTTTTTTTTTTTTGTTGCCAAATTGTATAAACACTTGATTGAGGTGAGATTTTGGCTAGGTCTCACCCCTAAGACAAGAGTAATAATATACTCGAGCTAGATCAAGTCTCTTATGAGTGATTCGTCTCTAATCTTTATGTATCACATCGAATAAGAATATGTTATTGATCTCTCTCGCTTGTTTGTCCAAGACTTCTCGCCAGACAAGCCAGGAGTTTCGGGATTCAAAATTCACTCCATATCTCCTTGATATCAAATCTTGAACCAATGGTTTTTCTAAGTTATACACATCCTACTAAGTTTTAAGTCCATCACAGATAGTTTTAGTTTCTGTATAATAATTTAAAAAATTAAGTGTTAATTGAAATATTTAATACGAGCTGGTTGGCTGTACATATGTGCAGACATGAGAATTTTGATAAAAATTAATTAATAATAATATATATTATTTATAATAAATAAGTGATTGACATATTTATTATGTCTCTTACTTTACATTATTTAGGACGTTTTTCTAACATTTAAAAGCTGACTGTGATATTGTCTTATCACAAAAAACAGATTTACTTCTTTTATATCTTCTTCGTGACCTATCACACCGAAAGTCATGCATTATTTGCTTTAATGAATTGTTTTTAGATTAATAGCTCACTCATTTTATCTTATCCTATCGAACTTCAAACCGCTACCACTATCACAATCTAGATTCTACTATCTATGACCTTCTTTCCGATCATCTCCATGTGCTTCCTCAGAAGAGTGGCAACTTTACTTTCCTAACAAAATCAAACTTCATTCTCCATAGATATTATTATTTCACCAACCTTTTAAAATAAAGTATTATTATTATTATAGTAAGTTTTTTGTTCATAAAAAACTCGAATATGCTGTCACGTCTCATGACATGTGTTACTTTTTTTTTTCCTTTTTTTCTACTAGATTCACTTTCATCGATCTAACACAAAAATAAAAGCTTCAATTTTTTTCCCTTTTCCATCCAACAAATATATACAAAAATGAAAACAATCATATTTTTCTATTTTTTGTTTTTCTATATCTTTGTATTCACTTTCATTGAACAAATACAAAATAATATTTTAGGGAATTATTCTGCACATTTACAAAATTTTGGGGATTTAAATGATCATTTCTTATTTAGAAAATTATGATTTTTGAATTATTTAGAAAATTATGATTATTTTCAAAAATCATAATTATTTATAGAATACCATCAGAAATTTCGTTTTTTAAAAAATTATTGCTTTTAATATATAATATTTTGCTGTCTAAAAGTTCATTGATATTTAATCAAAATTACAAAATCGGTATACATAACTTTCAAAAAACAAATGATATAAACAGATATATGTGTTCTTAAAAATTTCATGACTCATGATAAGAATCCGAAATTTGGGAAGAATTCGATAAGAACGGAATGTATGGGAAAATTCTTATCTAAAATCTCTTTTAAAATTTCTAATAATTTGGGTAAAGATCAATTTCAGAACAATATTTCAGATCATTGAGGGAAAATTTGAGAAACTTTGAGAAAACTCGTAAGAAAATATATATTCTTTTTTCTAAATGGATAATTAAAGTTTCTGATCTTATATACATTCTCTTCTTGCTTGCATTTTAATAAAATACATAGTCCCGATTCAGAATTTGTTTTAAACAAGAAATAGAATAGGACGAGAAATTCAGAATAAGTGCAAGACGTAATGTGAAATCTGTCCCAAAATTTTCAGAGCTACTATAATATACCGAAAAAGATACATGAAAAAGTGAACTTGATAACAAGTTATGTAGATAAGCCTTACTTCTAATTAAATACCTAGACAACTTTGTTTCTTCTAGTATAGTTACCATACCAATGATTTCGGGATCGAAACTCAAAAGACATGACAATGATCGTATAATAGGAAAAATTTTATCGGTTGATACACATATTTTTTATAAAATTTTTAATAACAACAATTGAAATTTGTCTATAATATTTAAAATTATAAAATTTGGAATAAAATAGTGAGTGGCTTTCTTCGCACCTTCACATATAAATAATGTAGAAAATAACCAAAATTACTTTAATAATCCTGTAAAATAAAAAAAAATTTGATAGTTAGAAAAAGTTGTTATATATAAAGCTATCTCTAATTTGATTTTTTTTTTCAAATTTAATATTTTTTATAAAATAATTCTTCAAAATGATTATTTAATTCCTTAAGTTTTTGTAATTGTGAAAATTAACTTTATGTTGATTTTACAGAATTATACTAAGATATAAAAACAATTGTAACGTCTTCGTTTTCTTAGTTAACATTGATTTTTCTTATGCCAAAATTTAAGAAGTCAACTCTAAGTTAGGGAATTAATCTGCATATACGATGGTTGGAAAATAAATTTGCCAATTACAATATTTGTGGAATTAAATGAGCAATTTATCTGCCGTATGAAGGCTTTTATAGACTTGAGACAAAATTAAAAATTTGTATTTTCTATATATTTATTAACAATAATTATAATTTAATTTCAATATCATTAACATCATGGTAACCAATAAAACCAAAATTTATGGTAACCAATAACATCAAAATTAATTCAATCTCATACCATACTATTCATTATGGTATACTAACTAGCAAATACAAACAACTAGGCTGCACTGTCACAAGATTTCTCTACCTTAGATACATGGTTTTGCTTAACAAATTTACAACTCAACGACAACTTAACTCCGTGAAGACCTTGCTCATTGACATTGTACCATTTTCAGATTGAGATTGATTTCTGGTGAAAGCAGGAGCCTTAGGTAAAGGAATGGTGATAGTATCACTACCAAGCCAAACTATTACAGAGCTCATGGTTGGTCTCTTTGCTGCATCCTCTTGAACACACAATAATCCAATCTGAATCAACTTTATAATCTCGTCTCTCGGATTTTCTGTCAGGAAAGGATCGATTACAACCTCAGGTCTTCTTTCAACCCATCTCTTCCATGCCTGCACCAAGAAAGATATGTTACAAGATACAAGAAAAATAGAGCAAATCCTGGTATGTTAAGAAGCTTACAAAAGCTGCAAGTCCTTCTCCTTCAAAGCTATTGTTTCTTTCCCCACTTATCATCTCTAGAAGCACAACACCGAAGCTGAAAACGTCAGATTTAACTGAGATTTGCCCGCGATTTAGGTATTCCGGAGCCATATATCCACTGCATATATGCATCCAGCAACATTAATTGATGGTTTCTTTTTCTGTATCCAAGAATGTCTGAAAGTCTCTGTTAAAAACAGAGTATTTATATGTGTTGTCAAGGTTTATTGATATATTCTTACCGGGTTCCAGCTATTCGTCTTGTTTCAGCTCGAGTCTCGTCAGTGTCGAACAACCTCGCTGTCCCAAAGTCTGCAACTTTAGGGTTCATCTCAGCGTCTAAAAGGATGTTGCTTGCCTTCAAGTCTCGGTGGATAATCTTCAGCTGAGAATCTTCATGGAGATAAACAAGACCTCGCGCAACGCCTTCAATAATTTTGAACCTTACGTCCCATGTAAGAAACGAACGCTTCTCTTTATCTGCGGATCTCAAAGAAAACATTCTTTTGCTAAATATTTTTTTACCAAAATGCAGCGTCTCAAGATTCAAGAAGACTCACCAAAGATGAAATGATCAAGACTTGAATTAGGGACAAGCTCGTAGACAAGAATCTCTTCATCTCCTTCATTACAGAACCCAAGAAGCTTAACCAGATTCTTGTGTTGGAGTCTTGTCAAGAGTGAGACCTCATTCTTAAACTCCGTATCTCCTTGCCCTGAACCACATACTAATCTCTTCACCGCTATCTCTTGCCCGTTCGGTAACATCCCCTGAAACCAGTTATGTCGCAATAAAATCATTAACCCATTTCAAAAATTGACAAGACTTATTACTTCATAAAAGGCTTCTACCTTGTATACTGTTCCGAATCCACCTTGGCCAAGTTTATTATCAGACGAAAAATCATTGGTTGCGGAGATTATCATGCCAAGACCAAACCGCAACATAGATTGTCCATCAGGATCCGAACACTCTGAAACATACCAACATCTAAATTCAAAACCATTACCCTACAAAAATTTAGCTTCACTGAAGCAAACAAACAGCTTACCATTAATGATGTTTTTCTTGTAGCATTTTTCCTCCGATTAAAGACGATGATGAGACCAACAAAAACAACGAGGTTAATAACGGTTGGTAACACAATTATCACGATAGTTGCATTCCGAATCCTTTTTCCTGCCAAAAAAATACCCATCAACCATTTACAACGAACAAGAGAAGATTACGTAAGTAACAAGATAACCTAGCATATATTCACCTTTCTTGTCATTTCCAGGTTTTAACTCAGGATCTCCTTGGGGAAGACTCGAGGCACGGCTAATCATAGACACTCTTGTCATATTCTCAGAAGATCCAGTAATAGGATAAAGATCCCACCGGAAATAACAGCTCGGAAGCCGACCCGCACCGCCTTGGCTTCCCCAGTTATTGTTTTGAAAGTTCAACACACACTGTCTAAGACATTTGGTACACTCACTAGACAAAATGTCGGGAGTACACTGCATCATCATGTAAACATCTGAAAATTCTGTGAACTCTGCTCTTATGACACTATAGAACTTGAGCATAGCCGAGGAATTGTCAGGAGCTGAAGTAGCAGACTGCATTGTTAGGTTGACCAATGCTTCCCATTCTGGTCGAAAAAGCGTGATGCTCTTAGGTGGCTCTATTAACAAAGGATTATCTGACAAAGTAGGTGGCCAAATCTCGAGTTTCTGGAAAACAGAGTGATTAGCGTAACGTACAAGGCAAGAAGCATTGTCATTGTCTCTGGTTGTCCACCTGAAAGACTTCATTCGATTTGGACATCTTTGTTGTGATTCTTGAATCGCTTGCTCCACGCAATTCAGACAAGGTTGCTTCTCGTAGCCTCGGCCACAAAGGGCAAGACCATAAATTTTGTTGGAGCCTTCTCCTATTGAAGTGTTGTAGAAACCGTCGTTGGCGATGATGTTGCTTGCAAGAGAAGAGAAAAGAGAGTTGAGGTTTTCGCTGTAAGTGCTGTTAACGGCGAACAAGCTGCCTTCACAAGCGGCGTTAACGTCGTTAATAGTTTGAAGGAGAAGAAAGCAAGAGAAGAGAATAACAGCATGGACATTTCCCATTTTGGTTCTACTTTTTTTTCTTTCTTTCTTTCTTTCTTTCTTTCTTTCTTTCTTTAGTATCATACTGTTCTTGCCAAGAAAAGGATTGATTATATTTTATAGGATCTGCCTATTTATTTCTGGGTCGTAATTGGCAACGGTGGCCTAGTTAGTCCAAACTTTTTAGAAATTCTTTATATATGTAATTTATAACGATAAGTGTAAAACCATGGGCTCTTGTCTCTTTACATATACCACCAGTATACCACCAAGTTGTGGTTTTTATCTTATTTTAATTTAAGTCCGTAGTTTTCTTCGCACTGTCTTTTTCTATGATAAAATTATCACTTCTCACTGTCACTGGTTTGTCAATACGAAATCTTACAGTTATCTTTTTGTTAAAGGAAAATCTTACAGTTTAGTTGGTCTTCTGTTTGTTAGAAGGATATTAATGAAACAGCTTATAAACATTCATAAACAATAAAAAATATATTAGAAAGAATAAAACAATTAATTTTTTTTTTGTTAACAATTTCAATTTTCTAGAACAGTTAAATGAGTTTACATAAACTAGATGAAACGGAAAATAATACTACTAAAAAAGTATTTCCGAGAATAACGTACAGGTCTTTATTGCCAATAATTAATATAAGGTTGTTTTCTTTATAATAATAAGGGTTATTCTTTTTACTTGGTCAGTAGAAATGGTGCTATACTTTTTAAACTCATTAGAAAATTCGAAAAGTGGACAATTCAATAATTTCATTCATCGGGTATTAAAAAATCAGGATGACTATAAAAAAAATATAAATATCTATATATAATAATAATAATAAGGATCATATATTTAGTAATTAAAAATTGAGGTTTGTCGTGTTCTTTATATAATAATTAGGGACATTGTTTTTGCCAATAATGTAAGGTCGTTTTGTATAGTATAATTAAGGATATTATGGGAGTCCTGCGACTGCAAATGGTAGGTTTGTCGGGAACAGAGCGAAAGTAGGCAAATAGATAGATTCATGCATTTCCAGAGGAAGCAACGTGATACTTTCAAGGAAGTCCCGCCTCAATAAAAGTAGGATCCTTTTACTAAAGATTAAACTGATTTTTTGGATATTTTGAGCTTAGTTTAGATTTAAAATAAATGTTTTGGACATAAAATAAAATAAAATATTTGAAAAAGCCATATAAATTTTAATTTTTGGACTTGTTTTCAAAACCAGATCATATTTTGTAAAGAAATTTTTATAAATTTGATTTATTTAGACCTAGAGGCGGTCGCTTCTGCCCTATCCACTTGGGACGGACCTCTATCATTTTACAGGTGTAGCGGACTATTCATTTTTTTCTTTCTTTGATTTTTTAAAGAGTTTTCTCATTATAGAAACAAAAACAAAATTGGCGTGAAAGGAAATTTCTGGCGATATTATGAAAGTAATGGTTGGTGACAACGGTTTCAGTCTCACTTTGAACCTGACTCGGAAGATGTTTGGTCAACAAATCGATCGCAATTTGAACTTCAGCGCTGAAAATATTCCATTAAGACTTTTATAGGCCTTAAGATTTTCTAATGTTTTTCCCCCATAAGATCGAAAGGCTTCCCAGCATAGAACACTCTAAATGGTTTGAATTTTTAAATATTATACAAACTATTCTAAAAACAAATATGATTCTAACTAAAATTGCTTCTTTCTATGTAAACGTTTGGACACTAAAATGATAACAATACGAGCCTCCCTCATTTACCATCTTTAAAAAAAAAAATTTAAGAAAGAGCAAAACAGAAGTTTGTTTGCACTACACGGCATCTCATTAATTGTACAACAATAAGTATACAAACATGCTTGATGAATTGGCACATGACAGTGGTGCAGTGATGGTGATCATGGTGATGGTGATGGTCCCGTGAGAAAGGCAACAGGCGTGGGCAGTTTCAAGCCATACGAGGATTGAATTAATGGTAGGCCTTTTGGTAACATCCTCTTGAACACACCTATGTGAATTAGTTTCACTACTAGGTTTATTAAGATGTTGTTACTCGGCGCAGCTAAAGGATCGGTGATCTCTGCAGATTTTTCTTCAATCCACCTCTTCCACACATGCAAAGAAATTTTGTAGCAGTTGAATATATGGATGCCCTTCTCCTTCTTTCACGTTTTGGTTTCTTTGACACCAAAGCTATAAACATCGGATTTAGCTGAGAATTGTCCGTATGTCGCGGTATTCATGAGCCATATATCCAGTGCATTAACCAAATCACGTTTATTGCGATGCTAATCAAACAATCCTAGGCAAGAAAAACAGAGCACCTATCTGAAACAGAGCACCTATCTGAAACAGAGCTTACTTACTAAGTTCCAACTACTCTGCTTGTCTCTCCTCGAGTCTGGACCGTCTGGTCCATGCTGAACAGCCTCGCCATCCCAAAGTCTGCAACTTTAGGGTTTCATCTCAGCGTCTAAAAGAATATTGCTTGCCTTCAAATCCTGGTGAATAATCCTCAACTGAGAATCTTCATGGAGATAAAGAAGCCCTCTTGCAACTCCTTGTGTGATTCTGTACCTAACACCAGCGTTTGTCTTCATCTGCATATCTCAAAGAGTTATTTAATGTTGTTGTTTGCTAAAAGTATTGTAACAAAAATGGAGCGGTCTCGCTAAGGCTCACCAACTATGAAGTGGTCAAGACTTGAATTGGGGACAAATTCATAGACAAGAATCTCTTCATCACCATCTCTCCCTCTCTTTTACGGCAAGCTTTCTCTCTCTCTCTCTGGATCTAGATTTAGGAAATGTTAGAAAGGCTTTTTAGATTTAGGAATGGTTAGATTTAGAAACTTGTTACTACTTTCGAAGTTATCATTTCATTTATCTCAACTACAATGATCTTAACTAAAAAAACCATTGCTTGCTACTCAGTTTCAGTTTCCCTTCCACTCTTGGGTTTCTGAATTTTCAGAGTGCCTGAAACTAATGTGATAAATCAAGTGAATTTCTACGAGAATACAAGGAAGACACTGATTCGTTGCTTGCTTCAATAACAATACGGTCCATCTATCACTTAAGTCTTTACAAACAACAAGCCTAATGGGTCTGCCTTTAAGAATCAACACTTTTTAGAAAGTTTATTTCTTCAAGAAAGGGGCACACACACAATGTCTAAACAGAAAAAAGGAAGACAAGAGAATCCCCAAAAAGCTGTTGAGAAGACGCGCACAAACCATATGTGCATTGCTGCAAGAGAAAGCACTTCCACTGTAACAGCCTCTCTTTTGTTTAATCCCCCTGCCGTTATCTTCCAGAGCAAATGAAGAATTTGTCTCACCATCACTAAAGAGAAGGCACCAAAAGAAAGTACCTTTATGCAACTTAGCCATTCCCACTCCAACCTCAGTATGCGACCTGTTTCTCAGTACCAACAGCGTTTTGTTATCTCTGAAGAGAATGTCTGAGAAGGCGACTTCTGGCTTCTCGTACTTACTGCTGCATCCGAGGACATGGCCTGTTATGGTACCGAAAGTGGGAAGCTCTACACCACAGTTTGGAGCAAAAACCTGAGTGAAGTCGGCTTCATTGGGTTCACAGGTCAGAGTGTTGTTGACGACATTGCATTTCCCCTCGCAGAGCTCAGCATACTGTAGGGCTATGCAGCCAAGACCAGGACTCTCATTTAGTTTCCCGAGCTTCCGAGCTGTTCTGTTCTGGTTCAAGATTCTCACCATTTCACTCGCCGAGTTTCCTAAAACCATACTAACACTTAGTGTTCTTATGTGCTCTTTAAAGGGTTTGCTTACAATCAGTATAATAATCTATCATTCAATCTGAACCTGAGAGGGGAATGGTGAAGGAGAATTCCAAATCTAGGAATGGTGAAGGTAAAAAGGAAAGTGAAGATTAATTACCGTGAAGTTTGGAGCTAACAAGCTTTGAGAGTGAGAGCAGAAGTAAAATCGACATCAAAGAGCAGATTTCCTTCTTCATTTCTTGTTTTATTGTTATCCTCTGATGTTGAATGTTGAAGCCGTCGACGGATTTCCGGGGTAAAAGAGAGCAGATAATCTTGTCGGAGATGAAGATGGTGGTCCCTACATATGTGTAAAGTAATAATGTTACGACGAGATAGCTCTTATTTTCCTTTTTCTTTTACCGAGAGAAAAAAGGACATTTTGAATATTGGGCTTTGAGATGTTTTGGGCTCATACATCGAGTCCAATGAAGAAAGAGGGAAATTAAAGTCGACATTATTTAAATATCAATATAACGTCAGCGAACGATTTAATTTGAACAAACATTCTATAAAATCCGAAAGGGAGACTTTTTTTTGTGAACGTGTAACGTGTCATCGCATGAGGATACACATACATGCAATATGGTCGCACGTGGTTTTACACTCTTTCTTTATTTAATTACTTTTTCAGACATTAAAAATATTAACGTGATATTGATGAGTATCACATTTCAATATCACATTCAATGTCCATTGGCTCCTCTTCACACGTGCATAAGTTGATTCAGTAGGCCACATGGTGATGTTTCACATATCCTCACACAACTTACCTCCAAACCGCACTTCTTTTTCCGATAGTATAATTTTTTTTTATTAATATATTTTCGACAGCATCCTATAGCTAAGTTCAAGTGTACCTTTGGATGGCGTCGAGGCCCGGAGCTCTAACGGAGTGGAGTCCCCTTGGTAGCTTCAAGTACCTCTTGGTGGCCCCGTTTGTAATGTCGAGCATGCACTCGTACGTGACGGCTGAAGATGAGGAGAAGGACCTCTGGAGACTGATGATAGTGGCGTTGTTGCTGTGGAGAATAATTCACAGCCAGATATGGATCAGTGTGTCGCGTCAGAGAACGGTCGTGGGGAGAAGGAAGATCGTGGACAAGCACATTATTGAGTTCGAGCAAGTGGACCGAGTCATCTTCAACACTCTCCACATGTACCTAGCCAACATGAAGCTCCCAGGCTTCTCCCGCCTTCCCCTCAGGAGATTAGACGGAGCCATCCTCGTGGCTTTGCTTCACGCTGGCCCGGTCGAGTATCTATACTACTGATCCACAGAGCTCTCCACCACCACTTCCTCTACTCTCGCTACCATTCTCACCACCACTCATCCATCGCCACCGAGCCCATCACGTGTACGAGTACTTTCTTCCATGCATCATTTCCTTCTATATCTTTCATATTTTCAATTTCTTTTAATTTGTCACGCAGCTGTGGTGCACCCCTTCGCCGAGCATATCGTCTACATACTACTCATCTCCCGACCCATGGTAACGGCGTCCCTGTGTGGGATCATGTCCGTTGCTCCTGTCATGGTATACATGACTTATGTTGACTTCATGAACAACATGGGACATTGCAACTTTGAGTTTTTCCCTAAGCATCTCTTCCACCTCTTCCCTTCCCTCAAGTTCCTCTGCTACACCCCCTCGTACGTCCTTTGTTCAACGCTACTATACTTATTAGCTACATTGGTTTTTTTTTTTTTTTTGTAATTGGATGTATGCATGCATATATAACATGGCGTTAAATTTGTTGAAGGTTCCACTCGTTTCATCACACACAAATCCGGACCAACTACTCTCTGTTCATGCCAATGTACGACTATATCTACGGGACAACCAACAAGTGGAGCGAGTCGCTGTACGAGAGGTCGTTCGAGAGAGAGGAGGAATCACCTGACGTCATCCACCTCACTCACCTCACCACACTCGACTCCATCTACCAAATGCGCCTTGGCTTCCCGTCCTTCTCCTCCCACCCCTTGTGGTCACGATCCCCATGGTACCTCACCTTCTTCATGTGGCCCTTCACTCTCCTCTTCTCATTCGTCCCCACCTCTGCTTTCTCCTCCCGCACCTTTGTCTTTGAGAGCAACCGTATCCGTAACCTCACCATTCACTCTCGGTACCTTCTTCCCAAGTTTACCTTCCACGTAAGCATTTACACCTCTCTCTCTCTGTATTTATTCTCAAGTTTGGACTTCTAAAACTATATATATTTCAAGCTTTCACACACAAAATACACAATTTTTTTCGTAATCAAAAACACATTTTTCAGGGGGAAAAATGATCTAAATGAATAATATTTTTTGTTTGTTTTGAACAAGTTTTAATGAATAATAATTAAACTCTAACGAAAAGGGAAGAGAGAGTCAAAAAAAAAAAGGAAGAGAGAATGACCAAAATGAACAATACTCTTTTCTCGTGGGTGCACGTTTTAGAATTTGCATCTTTCCAACAAATATTGCAACATAAACATACGGCGCCAGTATAAATCTCAGCGCCACCGTGAGAGCATCAACAATATCATCGAGGCAGCTATCCTCGAAGCAGATGAAAAGGGTGTGAGAGTAATGAGCCTTGGCCTGCTGAACAATGTACATTTTCATTTTCTTAAAACCAATATATATATATATATATATATATATATTGAACCAGAAAATCACCACTAGGTTTAAGTGATTTACGGTTTGGGTTTAAGAGAATATCAAATTGGAGTTCGGAGATTAGTTCATCGAAAAGATGAACTACTTGAAGTTTTTATCAAGTTATAGCTGAACCTTTAGGAAAGGCTGCCTACGTACCCTTGCAAATGGATCAAGCCATTCGTAGTTCGGTGCAAAATGTTTAGATAGAAGAAATCTAGAGAATTCTCTCTAGATCTCGGATTTTTTGGTGGTTGCTTTAGATCGGGTTTTCCTCCCGTTTTCTGATGATCTTCAACTTATGAGGATCTCTCTATTTATAAGAAGGTAAGGTCGGTTCCTTTGACCTCGTTTTCCTTTTTGATTTAGGGATATTTCTCTTTTTCCATTTAGGAAAAATTCTTCTTTTCCTTATTCTTCGGAAGTTTTCCATTATCTTTAAAGATTCTTCCTTAATCCACAAGTCAGTGTGATTTTTCTTATCTTGATGGGCTTAGGTTATTGCTAGAGAAAGTTTTTTAGGAATTGTGCTCATTTCCCCTCTAACAGTAAGTCCCCCTCCCCCCCCAGTTCGGCGAGATTGATTGTAAATCAGGTCGACGGACTTCATGAAGTTAAGTGGGTTTGATCTTGCAATAAGTGTCAGCTCGTCGAGAGTGTCTTCCATAATTCGAGTTGGCCTGTTAAGGATAATTCTTCAAGAAAGTCGTTGCTGGTCTTGATTTACATCGCACTTCGGCGACCTTGATTTCACGTTGCACTTTGACGATTCACATCGCACTTCGGTGGATGCAGAGTGTTGTGTTTTATTGAATAAAGATTTCTTCCTTTTTGTAATGCAGCGCTGCTTCGGCGAGAATGCTTTTTGCATTGAAGTTTATGCAACTGATTTAGATGACTAAACCAGATAGAGTGCTAATTTTATCATACGAAGCGATAAATTTATCTAGTCGACTTAGATAAATCAAAGTGATAATGTAGCGATGCTTTTCAAAGCGTGTAATGGTCTTTTTAAGACATAATGCTTAAACGTTCGTTGACGAGGTGATCCTTAACTTTGAAGGATTTGCGAAGTCGACTTTTCGACTTGCGAAGCGGGAGCATTCTTTAGGCCGTTGCTGGAGGCGAGATTCATTTGCTCGTCTTATACCAAACGACAACAAGATCGAATACCAAGCTTTCACGATTCACTTCGGCCCGAAAGATATGATCAAGGGTCGTGCGAGTTTTGTCGTCGGCTTTCATCTTATCCACTTCGGAAGTACTTAAATCAGACCGAAACATCAAAGGAGTGGTGATCAGCCACTAATTTTATTTTTGCTTTTTGCTTTCTCGAATCGAATGTTTGGCCAGAACATCGATTCGATTCAGCAAGATGCGTTTGCATAAGGGAAGATTGCTCTACGTGCCGAGCTTGTTAAGAGTTTGAGCATTCTCTAGTTCAGCAGTGTGAACATCTTTTTACTTTTTACTAGCTGTAATTCTCACTTTGGTAGCTTTGTTTGTTCCTCCGTTTGTGTAGTGGTCTCATTCGAGAAAAGATTGCAGAGTGAATCTGATGTTTATGATGAAAATTTAACAGAAGATAAACTTCAAGAGCTTTGTCATCATCGTAGAGATGGATCACGATGATGTGACGATGTCGTGAGACTCGGAGCCGAGCTGATTTTCGGATCGCGTATACCTTAGAATAGGTAACGGAAAGAAGATTGGAATAGCTGATAGCAAGAGCTTTCCAACTGTATGTAGATCGTCTGCTGGATCCTTCTGAGTCGTCGGGAAATTGCCCCGCAAATCTTTCAAAATCTCTTCATTCTGGTTAAAATTGCAGGTTTTTGTGATTTTTCGGGAATTTGTGAAGCGATTTGTAAGTGGAGTTTAACTCCGATTGATATGCCGTAAGTTTCTGCAGATTATATGCAGAGAGATCTATCCAGAGGTGCCTCGGATGCAGTCTGAATCTTCTTGGTTGTTCGGTAATTCTCCTCAACAGATCAGTACTTGCACTGTTTTTCTGGGTTGCAGGTTTGCTTGTCCGGGAAGCTAAGTCTTTGCACAGTTCTTCCGCCATTATGAGGGTGTTAGCTCGTCGTTTTAGACTCTTGGGTTGACGGTAGTTACATCGGTAAGTTATTTGTACTTAACCAGTGTCTATTTTGCTGTTGGCGTGTCTCCAAAGTAGCATACTTTGCACTATTCTTCTTCTTCTTTAAAGCTTTGTTGGATAGCTTAGTTGTACAGCAGAAATTCGAATCAGTCGAAGATTCTAAGCAGGATGAGCTGAGAGATTGAGCGTAAGCTAGCTCGTCCGTCTTCTCCTTCCCCCCTTCTTTTTTTGGCGAATCTTAATGCGACTATGAGTGAGATTGGTTTTGACGAGTTTAAGAATGCATTTCTGATCTTTTACTGTACTCGAGGTTCAGAGGTCAATTTTGACTGTTCAAGGCTCGGAGCTCGGCTTTGCTTGTGCGAGCTTCGGAGCTCGGCTTTGACTTTGCGAGATTCGGAGCTTGGCTTTAACATTGCGAGATTCAGAGCTCGGCTTTGACTTTGCGAGATTCAGAGCTCGGATTTGAGTTGATTAGCTGTTCAATCTATGTTGAACTCATAACGAATAATAAAAATAAAGTAAATAGATCGGTGCATTAGTAAAGCTTATCTGGGCGAATGATTTGTGATTTGCTTTGCGGTAGAGTTGATAGGGCTCAGGTTTTATCCAAATAAAACTACTGCAAGTGCACAGCAAAAGCAGTTGTAGTACAAGGGGTTATCGAATCCCAAGGGAGTAAGTAAACTACACTAAAGAGTTCAGGTTCGGATTAAGCTAAGCAATAAGTAATGAATGTAATGCGAAATAACTAAAGTAATAAAAGCAAGTGGGCGTTTTTGAGACTGTTCTTAAAGTTCAGAAAGCTAAAGGCGCTAAGTCAGGACAGTTCGCAGGTTGAATCCGAGAGTGTAGAATGCATGAAATCAGGAATGAATTAAAACCGTCTTGAACATGAATCACAAAGATATAACTAATCAATTCTCATTGCAGAAGTTATCTATGTCTAAATCACAGAGTTTCAAATCTCTTTGCAAACCCTAACAACCTAAACATGCAGTAATGATCAGGTTCAATTGTTCACAAAACTCCTAAGCCAAATCTCTTTGTACTAGGGCGTTTTGCTCATCTAATACTAGTTCAGGTGATTAATAATGCTCTCACATCTATCAAACAACCTAGGGTTTCGAAATCCAGATGATGTGTCTAAGAAATCGATATGAATGCAAGCACAGATGAAGAACTAATGAATTTCCTATAGTTTTAGCAATTCTACAAACTCTTCTTCAACCTTTGAAAAGCCCTAACTTAACTAACAAACTACTCAGACATGGTGATTTGAGAAAACATCATGAAAAGAATAGATTGCATAAAAGAAATAAGAAGTAGAAAGTAAAGGAGTTCAAAATCTGCTCTGAAGGAGTCTGATTTGTCTCTCCAAAAGCTCTGCTACAAATCTCTCTCTAAAGCTCTAAAAAATAATAAGATACAAGATATATGCCAAAAGAATGGCTGAAAACCCTAATATACAAGCTAAAACACGATCTGGGGCCTTTTTGCAAATACTAGAACTTCTGGGCCAAAACTGCAATTTCTTCCCAATCTTTTAAAAACAGGCACGACCTCCTTCCTTTCTGGGTGACGAGCGTCACCAGATTGGTGACGAGCGTCACCCATATGCATACTTTTCTTCTTCAAGCTTGGTACTTCGTGGCTTCAACTTGCAATGCTCCAAAAAGCTCAAATATCTCCAGTTATGCTCCAGACATGTTATAACCTGCAAAGACTCTTCTAGGACTCTAAAAAGACCAAAAAGACTCAATAAAAAGGACTTATATCATGGTTAAAAACCATAAAAACCATGATATATCAACTCCCCCAGACTTAGCTTTTGCTTGCCCTCAAGCAAACATCAGATAGAGTACAGGGTCGAGGTTTGAAAATAAGAAACAGTTAGTCAGTCATCAGAAACACCACACTAGTTAAAGCTTTCGAATCCACATACCACAGAGTCAACACAATATCAAATTTCAGCCTAATCATCACAAGCTTAGCAAATCTCTCAAGTCCAGTCCAAATCCCTTCAAGAAATCCGAAATTTCTACTGCTAACTCCTTATTTTTTATCTAAGTGTGAAGTCTCATCAAGGCTCTATCATCTTAATCACTTTACAGATTCTTTTCCCTTCCTAACAACTGACCAAATCAATCTCAACACAGCTCTCCTATTTTCTCTTCCCTTAATCTTTTTCCTTAGGATATTTTCGAAATTTTCACTTCTTTTTCTCAACTTTTTCAGTCTAAGAAATGGTGCTACTCAATACTTGTGTTTCTTGTGAGGAGACAGGTTCTTGAGTGTGTTCACTACTGTTGTTCCTTGTGAGGAGACAGGGTCATGAATGCACCATTCTTTGGACTTAAACTTTTAAAAACTACATCAGGGAAGATCAAAGAGAGACTGTATTTTAACCTTATTATCAGTGCTTAAAGAGAGAATCAAGATCAATAAGAATCAATCACCAAGACAAGAAGTTTAAAGTTCATTAAGGTGGAGCTAACAGCAAATTTTCCAGATTCTCTAAGAACCTAAACCTTCATTGCTAGACTGATCTACCTATGACTTTCAACTTAGTAAGACTTGTAATCAACTACTGTGGCAATGGTTCTTATCAGCAAAAACGTCCTATGGCTAGTTCCAAGAAAAACTAACAGTTTCAAAAATTTTGACTCTAGGAAAACAGGTTTTTGACTCAACTTTAAGACTCTATAAACATGACACAAAGCACACAACGTCAGTAACCACCTCCCCCAGACTTAAACAACACTGTCCCCAGTGTTATTAAGCCAAGAGTTGGTCAAAATGAAGCATGAGAACATGTAAAACCAAGGCGGAAAAGTGGTAC